TCTGCATGTAAATGTCACGTAAACTGGTTTTGGTATGCTCCTGACAAGCTGGAGACTCTCCTGTCAACCCAAAAGTTGTCTCCCTTTTATATTTTCTAATATATTTACACAATTATGAAATTAGTTGAAATGTGTTAAATGTAAAAATATAACATTTTATCAGATTATTTGAGCCCAACAGCATTGTTCAACCAGCTCTTACACGTTCAGCTTTACACTGTTTCTTTTGTTTATATTTTGGTAACTCCTTTGAACAACAATAAAAAAATTAAAAAAATCTCTTAGTTTTTATCAGAGGAATGCCCAAGAAGACAGAATTCACTACGGTCACCTCTTCAAGTCATGAGGATAATTTTAGTGCCGAGGAGCTGATGGTGCATGCACCCACTGTCAGAGGCTGGAGATCCAGCAGGTAATTTAAACTAGATTAAACTCTTTTCAGAAACGTAGTTAATCTCTGATGCATTTTTCATTTCAGCACTCTAAACCATAAACCTTAGATTTTGATAGTGCAGTATGGGTTCAGAGACCTTGCTCATATTTTCCTCCCTGTGGAATAAAATTGGTCTTGGCCTGCCATATCAATCTACTATTAAAATGATGGTGTATTAAGTTTTATCATTACATATTTCTTGATGGCAAATAAGAAATGTATTTTGTTGGTCTCTTGAAGAATAAAATCCTTTATGTCTATTATTTAAGATTTAGAACAATTAAAATAGATTCTGAATTGAGTTGTCCCTTACGTATGAAGAATGAAGAAAAACAGTAAACAAAATGAATATTTCTTGGACTCAATCCCATCCTGTTCTGGAAATTATGTTCAAATTTTTCATCAAAACTGCCCAATTTAGCTTTTTAAATAATTTCAGTAAATCACTCTGCTCATTCTTTATCAGGTAAGACACTGTTGATGTTTTGCTTGATTTAGAAGAGGCTTAGCACAAGGAATGTGTCTGTTTTAATCTATGTTCATCACATCTGTGCCAGCCTTGAACTTCAGCAGCCGTCCATGCTGAATGGACGGCTTCTGAAACTCTTAATAAAGCTTTTTTTTTTTTTACATTCGTCTTAAGGCTGTTGCTTTTTCCATCGTTCCATTATTGCTATGAAATCCATCTCGGTGTTGCATACTGAAAATTCAAGATGATGATCGTTAAAGCTATCATATTACTTTGTTTTCTTAAAATCAGTGGTGGAGCCAGAGGGGTGGCCGGGGTGGCACTTGCCACCCCCAGCAGACCCCTGGCCACCCCTAGTGCCACCCCACTGGAAATGGTAATTTTAAAATATAATACTTATGAGATCGGCAAAGATTTGCCAGGAAAACTGTAATTTCCGACTGTCCCTGAAGGCAGCCCGATGCCCGACGCTGTTCATTGGTGGGTTAAACTGACATGTGGTTCCTGCTTGATCAAAAACACATCAACGGTTTTAGAGTTACACCATCCAGGAGTTCTGCAGGTATTTACAACATTTTACCGCTCAGCGGTAACCACTGTTACCTTCCTAATGAGAGGCGACACTTGTCATACATTTCTAAAAAGAAAAAAAAAAAGGTTGTGCACCGCTGCATAGTGCCTCATTTATTATATTAGCCATGCTAGTGCTGATAGATCGTGTTTTAGACAGATTCTTTTAACATATGTTTTAGTGACATGCTGCCCTCTAATGTTTAACGGAACCCTTAAGATTAATTGATTGAAATCCTGGGTTAAAAATTCTCAATTATTTTGGTATTGCATCCCTAATTATGTATTTAACAAAATTGGTGGTTTAAAACTTGTTCTTCTAGCTGATTTCAATATTCATAAATTGCCAATTAAACTATCAGAGTTCCATAAACAAGTATTACTATACTGGAAAATGCTCTATGTACATAACTATTCGCCACACTCCTCTATCATATGGAATAACAGATTCATATTACATCGCGGTAAATCCTTATTTTACAAGGATTGGATGAAGAAGAATATTTGGTCCATTATACACTTAATGGATGCTAATGGTTGCATGTTAAACTATGAACAACTATGTGAACAATATCAATTCTTTCCCCCAAGAGCTGAATTTACCAAATTAGTTAATGCCTTTCCGAAACAATTTATTAACCAAGTAAAAAAGTTGATAACATATAATCCGACGACCCCACGATTACCCAATTTATTTATTAATGGAATCTCATTCACTGACCAAAAGTTTGATAACCACACAATTAGAAACTGTCTAAACAATACTTGTTCCCTGGGAAAATAAATAGAAATAACATTCTTTGCAAGTTTGATAATAAATCAATTGAGAGGTTAAGATCCCTTTATCTTAAACTCCCTATTCAACCTAAAGCTAAAGAAACACACTTTAAAATTTAAATGCAATTTACCCTTCAAAAGAATTATTAAAAATCGATTTAATATTGATGACAATAAGTGCTCCTTTTGTGAACAAGATATTGAAACGATTGACCACATCTTCTATGAATGCAACTAAACCAAAACATTTTGGATTTGCTTAGAAAGATGGATCAGTTCCAAATTCACACTTCCTGAATCCTGTAGAACCTCAGTTGAATTGCTCGTTCATTTTGTCAGGCGAAACCCACCATGCATGAGTAGGTCGATCAGCTGTGCCGCTAGACGGATGGCCTGTTGAGGTGAGTCTGAGGATTTCAGGCAATCATCCACGTAGAAGTTTCTTTCTACAGTGGAGATGGTATCTGCATTGTACAGATGTGCGTGATCTGATGCACACTTCTTTAATGCAAAACTTGCTGCACTTGGAGACCACACTCCACCAAAAGGTGGGATGATCCGGTAAGTAACTACCTCATTATTAGGATTGTGGTCCTTCCACCAGAGGAACCTTAGCACATTTCTGTGTTCTGGAGTTACATGTATCTGATTGAACATGCCCTCAATGTCTGCCATTACAGCGACTGGACCTTGTCGGAAACGGATCAACACGTTTATTAATTTGTTTGTTAGATCTGGGCCCTGATGGACGACATCATTGAGAGATACTCCGTCATACTTTGCTGCGCAGTCAAAAACGACTCACACCTTTTCAGGCTTGCGAGGATGAGTTACTGCGTGATGTGGGAGGTACCAAACTTTGCCCTCATTGTGATCAGGTGACAAAGCTGGGACTTCTTCTGCATATCCTTTATCAATAGTTGACTACATTGCTTTAACATACTTGTCTTTCAGGTTTGGGTCCTTTGTTAATCTGCGTTCCAGTAGTTGTAGTCTCTGTGTCGCTAAGTTGATATTGTTAGGCAGTGTCACTGCTTTGTTCTTAAAAGGTATGTCTAAGGTATAATGTGAGCCATCTTTGGTAACTGAGTTTTCCCACAGTTTAATCACCTTGTGGTCATTTATTGACAGATTTTTCTCTGGAGCAGGGTCGTCAATTTTCCAAAACCTTTCCACCTGTGTTTGTAGATTTTGATCTGACTTGAGGAAGTAAGTCTTAACCTTCCTAACTTCTTTGTGATCAATGGGACCATTAATGGCCCAGCCGAGAACTGTTCTGCTAGTAAGGGTCATTATCACCTCCTACGCGGTACTCTTCAGCTCTAAGGAGACGAGGAGCATCTTGTCCAATGACAAGGTGCACATCGTTGGACTTGATGCTGGGAATAGGGATATCTGCTAGGTGATTCCATCTGGCTGCCTCGTCTGGTGTCGCGAGACAGCTAAGTCCAATGTTTAATTTCTTAAGTGTTCTCACCATTAAGTGTGTAGGTGCTGCCATCGTGCAGAGAGTCAATCTCAAGATTGGCTTCCTCCTACTGTGTCAAGCTCTAACCTTGCAGGCTTGCCTTTGACCTTTAGCTTCTTGGTCAGCTCTTCTGACACTAAACTGGTGTTGGCGCCAGGATCGAGTAATGCATATGTAACAGAATTGATGTTTGTAGCTTTACCCCTAACGACCACAGGAACTATAGGTAAACAAACTTTACCATTTGCAGCTCCAGCAAATCCACATGTGACATTAGGTGATCTGTTAGGTTGCGTTCTTTGGGTAGTTTTAGTGTCATCAGTGCTGTCCTGGCCTGCTGCTGTCTCCTGTCTGTTAGTGTGGTTAGGATGCAGCATTTTGTTGTTTTCTGTCCACAGCCAGGCACGTTGCACACCCAGTTGCGCGTGCAAATCTCAGCACTGTGCCCAATCATGAAACAGTTTTGACACAGGTTTTTTTTCTTGAACAAACACCAGGCGCTCTGGCACCGTTAGTGATCGGAAGCCTGGGCACTGGTTTAAGAAATGCTGTTCTGAGCATTTAAGACATTTTAAATAAGCTGGCTGCTTGGTGCGTGTAGACTTACTTTCACAGACTGCAGCGGCTTTGACAGTGGTGGGGTAGCTTTGACGATGTTTCTTTGAGACTTTGGTAGGTGACGTAAAGTTGTTTGGTTTCTCATATTTCTTGAAGCCAATTAGCCCACCAAAGACTGGATCGGATCTCTTTTCAGCTTCTGTCTCCACAAAGTTCACGACGTCATTAAGTTTCGGTAGATGTCCTTCCTTTGTGATGTCGTAGTTTTTTATTTAGCCACTTGGCCCTGAGATCTGATGGTAGCTTGCTAATTACCTCAAATAATGTGCGGCGGGCCGCTGAGCTCTTCCTCACATTTCATGGCAGCAAGCGTGTCTTTACAGCCTCTCAGCAGGTCTGCAAAGTCTCTGAGTTGCATATTGTCTCTTATCTCTTTAAAGTTCAAAACCTTTTCAACCCAAGCTTGAGAAATGGAATGAAGATTTCCAAATCTTGATTTTAGTCGGTCTAGTGCTTCTTTGAAACCTGCGTTGGATCAGAATTGTATAGACAGTGACTAATAGCATCTCGAGCCTTCCCTTTTCTGTACTGGTGCAGACGAGTTAACTTTTCTTCAGCAGAAATGGACTCTTTGTCCACCATAGTGGTGAAAAGCCTCATGAACTTCCAATACTGAAGGGGTTCACCGTCAAACTTGATTAGATCAGTTGGTGGGCCTGAGAGTGTCAACTTGCGCTTGATAATGCTGCCTTAACTCTATCAGTTGTGAAATCGAATCATCTGCCATCTGAAATGGCGAGGGTTGTTGTGTAGTAGGAATTTTGCCAATTTTCGGCGTAGAATGGAGATCTGCTGTTAAAGCTTGCATCTTTTGCTGATTGTGTTGCATCTGTGCATCCAGCTCAGCTTTGTGATGTAGTCGCTGAAGTTCCAACTCAAATTCCTCTTTGTTACGTCTAAGCAACAGCTCAAAGTTTTCCTTCACTTTCTTTCTTAGGGCTTGGATTTTCTTTAGTTCTGCTGCTGCGGAATCTTCATCATTTATATCAGCTGGAGGCTCTCTGAACATGGCTTGTGTAGTAACATCCAGCTCATCATCAACATATGAATGCACACTAGCTCTATCTTCTTCTTTTTCTTGCAGCCAGGCTAGAGCTTCGTGACGCACATCGTGAATGTTCATTATAATAAGTCTCTCATAAGCATCAGACTCTTCTCTGTCGATGTCATCAGTGAGCCAAGAATGATAACATTTATGTACCTCCTGAAGATGTGCAAGGGCTAAGTCGAGGCTCTCTAGCACTGACTTCAATTCTTCTGGCTTGTTTTCTCTAATTTTTTCGTTCGCTGACGTCATCATCTTAGTTACGGCTGCTTTAGCTTGTCCTCTCTTCCTCTTTAGCGCAGCAATGTCTATTTCTCCCGCGGATTCTTTAGTTTCAGACATGATGCCACCGTGTTTAACTTTATGTTACAAAGAACATAAGGTAGTCGTTGTTTTTGTTGTTATTTTATTGCCCCGTGCTTTTACACGGACATGCCGGTTAAACTGTAAATAAAAAATAAAACAATACATCAATATTTAGTAACATAACGAGAACTAATCTTCGACAGCTCACAACATTGATGTAACTCACCACGTTGGGCAACACTCATAAACGTCGATTAAATATCCGTTTGTAGTCAATAATACCGTTAGCTGCAGCTAACGGCGATCTCTGTGCCGTTGCTTTTCTGCCGTAAATTTCTTCTCTCACTTAACTGACGCGAAGCAACTACAGCGCCCTCTAACGGAACGGAGAAGGAGTGAATCCAACAATTACGTATCTTTAAACTTTAATTTAGGGGAAATCTGTAACGGTGCTGGGGCAACAGGGGAAACAGATCAGTTCGGTTTCAAAAAAAATTTGAAACGTTGGGCAAATTTGCTTTAACAGAATAGTTAACTTCTTAAATAAAAGTAATTTATAATGGCAATACTTTGAAGTAAATCAATCAGAGGATTTGTGTCCAGTATCAGCCATCCTGGTAGGAGGTAAGAAGTCGGCAAAAAGGAGGCGAGAAAGGGCATGAGAACTTCTTTAGGAACGGCGTCCATAACGATGGCAAATTCCCTATACTCGCTCAGACAGCTATCGTGACGCAGTTTAGAAAATCTGACAGGTAGCACAGATCGTCAGAGCCGGTTGTCATTATGACGCAATAAATGTTGGTGACGTAGAATTTCGAACAGTTTGTTCAGCATTCTGTTAAGCATTTCTCTCATTTGAAACTGAGCGACCGCTTTAGGAAGACACGTTTAAATCGTAAGAAAAATCGATAGTTTTACAGCGAGAATGGAAAGGAATCAGGTTTGTGAGGCTACAATTTCAAAAGAAACAGAAGAACGTTTATTGCAAAAGATTTTATACTTGGAGGAGAAAAACTGAAAACTTGAACAGCTTGAGTTTAAGAAAGAGGAGCAAGTACATAGACACAAATTGATCAAAGACAAATTTAATACTGACAGAAAACATACAAATCTGCTTACAACACAACAAAAATCGACTCAGACAGACAATTTGGCATCAGAATTTAAACAACACACAATGGACAAATCCACACAGACACAAATTGAGACTTCACCCGAAACACAAACTTTTAAAAGCAAACACCAGAAGGTCAAAAATTCAATCAAAAATACCATAGCTGAAAAAACATCGCAGTGTGAAACAGCTACATCTGAACGTAAGAGCTGGTGGAATATGTGTCTGGATGGGCTGTTATTTGCTGGAAAACACACCCTGCTGGGTGTTGTTCAGGCTGCGATAACAGCAAAAGTGTTTGATTTGGCATACGAGTTCTATATGGAAAGAGAAGTTCCTTTCTAAGGAATAAACTGCTGGTTTCAACAGTGGACTGGGGGAAGGAACTCAGGCAACTAGTGGACTTCCACAGCGTCACGAGGAAGGTAGGTTTCTGGAGACCAGGGGGAAAAAAAGAATATGTTTTTCCAGTAATTAAAGATAATGGAAATATTCTAATAAACAATAAAAGTAAAGCTGAGTTATTAGCTAAAGCATTTGAAAAGATACATAGTACATAGGATTATTTAGCTAAATAAAGAAAAAAGAGGACGTTCATAATGATGTTTAAGAGGATTTTATTGAAGTTTTTTTTGATAGAGTTAAATAATACACTGAAGAATTCCAGTAAATCAATTCCTTTACTCCAGTAAATCAACAGCAACATCAATAATATTGACTTTATTGATAGTTTTCTAAAAAGAACAGGTATTATGGGGAGATTATAATAGTTAAACGTCCTCCAATCTGGAAGGTGGCAGTCATGCACCTACAAGTTGTTTGTCAGCCGCCATAATAAAAGGAAAGAAGAAGAAGTGCGAGTTTTGGAAAAGGGAAGAAGAATCCAAGTACTGCGCATGTCAGAAAAGCTTGTTGTCAGCGGTGGTGATGGAGATGAGATGGGAGTGCGATCCTTCATTAATACGGTAATGTTGCTGGTAAGATGTCTCCAAACCCCCAGCAGAAGGTCTTCATACGTCGAGCTGCGCGCTTACAACGAGTTGTGAATAAAGACTCGCCACTGTTGGTCTTAATCGCATTTTAGCCGGTAAGTTTTCTGTACGTAATGTCAGACAAGATGACGTTTGCTGTGCTGTTAGATTAAACAATGTTGACACGTTTGAGTCAGCGAAAACGAGTCGTTTCTTGTGTTTAACAATGTTATCTATAGCTAGTCTGTGTTGCCTTCATGAAGAGAAAATTCTGCATGTAAATGTCACGTAAACTGGTTTTGGTATGCACCTGACAAGCTGGAGACTCTCCTGTCAACCCAAAAGTTGTCTCCCTTTTATATTTTCTAATATATTTACACAATTATGAAATTAGTTGAAATGTGTTAAATGTAAAAATATAACATTTTATCAGATTATTTGAGCCCAACAGCATTGTTCAACCAGCTCTTACACGTTCAGCTTTACACTGTTTCTTTTGTTTATATTTTGGTAACTCCTGTGAACAACAATTAAAAAAAATAATTTCTTAGTTTTTATCAGAGGAATGCCCAAGAAGACAGAATTCACTACGGTCACCTCTTCAAGTCATGAGGATAATTTTAGTGCCGAGGAGCTGATGGTGCATGCACCCACTGTCAGAGGCTGGAGATCCAGCAGGTAATTTAAACTAGATTAAACTCTTTTCAGAAACGTAGTTAATCTCTGATGCATTTTTCATTTCAGCACTCTAAACCATAAACCTTAGATTTTGATAGTGCAGTATGGGTTCAGAGACCTTGCTCATATTTTCCTCCCTGTGGAATAAAATTGGTCTTGGCCTGCCATATCTATCTACTTTTAAAATGATGGCGTATTAAGTTTTATCATTACATATATTTCTTGATGCAAATAAGAAATGTATTTTGTTGGTCTCTTGATGAATAAAATCCTTTATGTCTATTATTTAAGATTTAGAACAATTAAAAATAGATTCTGAATTGAGTTGTCCCTTACGTATGAAGAGTGAAGAAAAACTGTAAACAAAATGAATATTTCTTGGACTCTTAATCCCATCCTGTTCTGGAAATTATGTTCAAATTTTTCATCAAAACTGCCCAATTTAGCTTTTTAAAATAATTTCAGTAAATCACTCTGCTCATTCTTTATCTTGTGTCTGTTTTAATCTATGTTCATCACATCTGTGCCAGCCTTGAACTTCAGCAGCCGTTCATGCTGAATGGACGGCTTCTGAAACTCTTAATGAAGCTTTTTTTTTTTACATTCGTCTTAAGGCTGTTGCTTTTTCCATCGTACCATTATTGGTATGAAATCTATCTCGGTGTTACATACTGAAAATTCAAGATGATGATCATTAAAGCTATCATATTACTTTGTTTTCTTAAAAATATGTTGACATATAGTTTCATTATTTACATAGTAGCATGTTGTTTTCTCAGATTATGCTTGAATCCACCTTTTCAACTGAGCCTAATATTTATATGTATCAAAATTTCTACAGGCTATGTTCGTATCCTCAGCACCTCACCCTCCAACTGGCGGAGAGATGTAGAATAAGAAAGTTGCAGTTGCTGGCTCACCAGTACATGATCCCAGCCAAGGTTGAATTTCATGTTGGTGACTGCGTGCCTGAAGCCAGCCCTCCAGGCTTCTCTGGACAGTTTCACAGACTTGGGTAAGACCGCAGACTTTACCGGGCTTAACTCTGACAAGTTTATTGATCATGCACAGTTTTTACACAATTTGGAAGATTCCTCAATTTTCCAAACCTTCTTTTATCATTCAGACCATTTTCATGTTGAAATGCCACAAATAAAATAAACACACTAAAACTGGTGATTTTTGGAATTTCTACCAACAAAATAAAAGGCACTAATGTCCATAAACTATCCTTTGAAGAATCTGCATTCATCACAGGTCACTTGTTTGGCAAATAAGTGTTAAATATTGTGCAATCGCTCTGATCTAATTTAGTCCAGATACAAAGAAACCTGTGAAATGGCTTTATCCCCACTCTGAAAATCAAGAGCCAGTTTCAGCACTGCATGGTTTCAGGGTTTACAGAAACAATTCCAGCAGTTCAACATGAATCATTTCTACCCAAAGTGTAATAAAAACTACATAAAATTAAGTTATGTCACACAGTTTATTATATAAAAACTGTGTGACCATTTAATCACAGTAAATGTGGATACTCACAGATGATGCACATCAGCATTACATGATGGTTACTCACTGGGATTGATAATGGATTTATTTATTGAATGCATGAGAACAAATTGATGAATTGACATTTGCATTCTCCAGCGCCTGTTCAAAGTATGATCTGAAATAGCAAAGTTGCGCTTTTTCAACAGGTATGTGTCTTTATCGGATAACGAGAAGACCGGCTTCAAAGCGCGGGAGCTGAAGTCGGTCCACGTTGACGCCGTCGGGACATATCTGAGAATAACCCTCCACAGGAACCATGCAAACCGTTACAATCGCTACAATCAGGTAATCTGTTGGGGCATTTCTCCCAGATCAGAAACAAAGCTACTGCGGTTGCTTCGGGTTGGTTTTCATTTGGTTCTCTGCTAGAGATAAAAATGTTTTTGCACATTTCCTTTTTTTAAAAAAATGACTTATTTACTGATCTTAACTGAGGCCTGCAGTATTTAAGATTTAGATTTTTTTTTAAACCTCAGTGATGAGTCAATGGAGTCATTTTGGGAGATGGAGTGATCCTGGGAGGATTCACTAGTTTTTTTTATGTTTCATCCCTTTGTGGAGAATGGTTCAATGTGTTTCATTTCAGGCCAAAATTTCCCAAAAAGGAATTTTTAATTCTTCTCAAACTAATGTCAGTAAATTTGACTTCTTCAGGTTGCGCTGGTTGCCATTAACGTTCTGGGAGATCCTTTGGATAGTATCACACATCCCACAGGGGTAAGTGAACAGTTTCTCTCTCTCTCTTCGCTGCATTTACATTTGCACAGCAGTAGGGGGGGATGTTGAGCTGACTTTGGACTCTTACCGTTGACTGGTTGTGCAGATTAAATAGATTTTTTCTTTTTATGCAACCACAGACCATACCTGAGACACATTTAAAATTTTAATTCTGCAATGTTAAGAAATCTTTCTTTTATACTTTATTGCATAACATTAACATAATGTTGGTCAGGTTAGCATTTTTCTTTTTTTAACTTAACAGCAGAAGCCATTAAGTTTGAGATATTCCTTTTTTGCTGAAGTAATGGCAGGTAATTGACAGAATACTGCAGGATGTTGGTGAAGGGGACTCACAAAATCAAGACTCGCACAACATATTCATATGAGTTATTAATTTAACATTTTGGCTCAATATTCAAAGTATTTATTGTCACATTGGTATAGGCATATATATTTAGTCAAGTCTCTGGGCCAACTAAACTCCATAAGTGCCCAAACTTATTTGTACAAGTGTTTATGTATGTCATCCATGTAGTAATGAGACACAAAGAGAGGGCACTATGTAATCAAACAGGAGACCTTCAGTTGGTGAGTGTAATCAGATAGTCCTGCAGATGGACGGCTCCTGGAGGAGCGAGACTGCCTTAAAACACACACGCGCACGTACATGCAATAACACACAGAAACGCAAGGAAAGCGTGGACTCCCCTTGCACAGATTCCAGTGAACAAGCCGTGCATTGTTGCTTCTCTAATCCGACTGAGCACCTTCATCACAGCAATGTTCTTGCCTGTTGGCCACAGCTGGTTCTCCTGGATCTGGTTTATGTTTGTTCTGGATGTTGAAACTGTGATGAAGATATGTAAAACAATGATTATTTATTTCTTGGTTAAACTAAATTTGATTAAGAGCATCTCATCTCTACCTTGTCTCATGTCAGCACTCCTTCTTTAAGAGTGTGTTAAAGCATCATTATTTACAAAATAATGCAAAGTTGGCACTGAGAGCAACTTTGCATTTAAAATGTTATTATTTACCAAATGACATTTCATTACAGTCTTTTTCTTTATGTTCCTTCACACAAAATAGTGGCCTTCAAAAACATGAAGTCCTACTCATAACTGTGCAGTGGAAGCAACAAATGCATTGTTTTCAAAATGTATTAAAAATGCATGTAAAGCAAGAAAGTGTCCCACTGCGTCAGTACTTTGTAAAATGTTTTTTGAAGTAGTTAGAGCATTTGAGTATGCATTGGGAATCAGATTTTCTCACATAGAGATTTATAATTTTCCCATTCAATATGCTCAGTCTGACTGCAACATCATGGTGTAACACGATCGCCAATTTTCAAGTAATTCAACAAATTTTCAATAGCATTTAGGACTGAACTTTAATACATAAATACACCTTATGTATTAAACCCTGACTTTGACACTCAGGGTTTGATCTTAACACTTTGTTGGATTAAATTATGGCTCTTTATAACAGGAAAAACAAACTTTAGCCCTGCACAATACAGAAATAAGTGTGCAGCCAATCCACTTGTGTAATTTGTCCATCTGTTTACCCCCAGCCAAGCAGAGACCAGCTGATTGAACTGTATCCCAACAGTACCCAGCAAGAAGCTGCCCTGGACATGACTTACATGGGGTGAGACTCGGCCGTTGAACCCTGGTTTCTTTGTCTTGTGACAATAACACAGTCCACCGAAACCATTCAGTCTGGGAGACAACCAGTAAGCCATTCAGTGTCGCATACATTTGAGGACAATGCAGGTAGTTTTTTTGTACGAGGAAACAAAATCCACATTTGAAATGTGGATATACAAACTTGTTAGCATTTTAATCTTTGTAAATGATGCAATTAGATTATTTTTACACACTCTGATCAAGACTTGTACAGGAACCTTCTGGTGATTGTGATAAAAATAAAGGACAGAAAAAATTGTAACGAGAAATCCTGTCAAATAGAGAACAATTTACTATGTTTATTACGTAATAGATGAAAAATGCATCCATCCATTTTCTGAACACCGTTGGCCCCAGTGGGGTCGGGAGGTGCTGGAGTCTATCTCCAGCAAACGTTTCGGGCGAGAGGCAGAGGTCACCATGGGCAGGTCACCAGTTTGTCGCAATTTGATAAATATGACTATTCATGGCCTTGTTGCATGTCTCTGACCATAAATTAATCTGTGTGGAGTTACCGATGCAATGTTGCCTGTGGAGATGCAACTTTTTATATAAGCGATCTCAGTCTTTTTTTTAACATTCTTTACCAAAGTGCTACCAAGAGATTAATTGATAATAATGTAAACTGAATTCCTACTCCAATCATGCATTTTCATGCTTTCTTTCACATTCAGCAAATGTTTATCAATCTCCCAATTTGATGATTTGGCCTTCGACATGTACCAGGATCCGGAGGTCGCTCACATCATACGTCTCTTGGACCAAAAGAAGCAAGCCGTTGTCCGACAGGAGGACTTTGAGGAGGCTAAGAAGTTGAAGCAAGCCATCGCAGACCTTCAGAAGGTAGATTCCAAAACATTTTATTCCTTTCACATTTGGGGATAAAGTAAAGGGAGACGAATACTTCTACTGCACTACGAAAATGTATTCGTAGTGCAGTCAGCACTAGACCTCGTTGGTGCAACTTATGTTGTTCTTGGACCAATAATAGAGTCCTAGTGTTACATTACACCACAGGTCCGAAAATTAAAACATGTTTTGAAGTAATAAACAAATTATTTATATCCACATATTACCAGCTTGACCTTTTCACGTTAACTATGTTTTGTCTCCTGAAAATCTCAATTATTCTGCAACTTTGTCTCTATTTGTAACAGAAGCTGTTAAACATTGTTCAGATACCTGCTACAGACCTTTGTGTTCAGCGTTACCATGCAGACCATGAATTCTTAACAAGCTCGACAGCTGCTGTCAGGATACCTGGGCAGTGTGTGTCCAACTCCCAGTTGAAAGACTGTTTGTAACCAGATAACACACAGTCTTACAAATGCTAGTCGCTTGTTAGCATGGCACGTTAGCATTGTGGACACAAGTTAGTCATGCTGAAAATCCCCTGTTGTCACACCCTCATGATGTCGGAGTTATCCAGTATGAAGAATCTGAGAATATATGAATAAAACACTCAACAAACTGACTCGCTCCGTTTTTATCCGTCATCAGAAATTCAGTTTATTATCACAAGGACACTTTTCAGAAATCAAATAATTACAAATAATTAGAAATGAATAAGAGTAGACGGGTGTTTTTCTGTCTCCAGGAGTGACAGTACTCCTAAAACCTCAGACATACTGAACTTTTTCTTCAGATGCATTTAGAACCGATCGCTCTTGCAGTGAGTGAGGCTTGAATGTAGACCTGTGAAGGCCGTGCTGGCTGGCACCTCGTTAGCAACTTTATTCACCTCGAAGGAATTTCCGTGCGCAGAAATTTCATGTCCAACTCACTGGAAGCTGTTGTCAAGTTTCCACACTCAAGGTTTTAATATCTGGCAGTCCTGCATTTTTTTTTTTTTTTTTCTGAACCAGGGCTGGAATATCATCTGAGGCATTTGAACTGGCCATGTTAAGAAACACTTACCATTAAATGTTTTGTAGAAATAAAACATTTCAATTTTAGCCACTGAGTTGTACTAATAAGCATTTAAGTTAGACATTAAAAAGACATAAGATACATCAGATAGCTTAGCACAATCTAATGACTTATTTCAATAATAAGTCATTATTATTGAAATAATAATGACTTGTTTCAATAACTCTATTAAACTCTATTAAAAACTATTCCCAGATTAAGTAAGAAGTAGAGCAAAACATACAATAAATGCTTTAGTGTCTATAAAACATTTACTCTGCATCTTTTTGTTTAGTTATTAATCAGGTCCAGAGGAAGGGTGCACCAGTACAAGATTCTCTAAATGTGATAGATGCCCTTCGTTAAAAACACCACAGTATCATGATGCATGCAAGAAACCCTCACATTTTGGAAATATTGTTTCATTTAAAAATGAGGAGAATCGTTATTGCTAGTGCAGCTAATATAGTGCTACACTGATGATTGCAGTTTTTATTAGTGGTATTTAAAACAAATTTATCTTGCTACAGCGTCTTAATGGGACATTTACTCAGTACTTTTGGGTTAAACGGTATAGGATTAATTATCCTTTTTATAATATAAGTTCAAGAAAATAGTTATCCAATAAAACCCCTAAACATGGGAAATCTGAAACCAATTTCATTATATAAAAAACAGGTTTCTTGATGAACTTTATAAACATGCTGGAAAAGATGCTTAGTCTCAGAATGGTTTGGGCTCTTCCAGGTTGGAGAGCGTTTGGCTCGATATGATGTGGAGAAGAAATGTGCGATTGAAAAGGAGAACTATGACCTGGCCAAGACGAAGAAGGAGCTCATGGACGAGTACAGGAAGAGCGTCTACCAACAGTTGGAAGTTCACAACCTGCTGGACATGACAATGGTCAGTCTTCAGCAATTAATCATCATGCTCCAGCTACAAAGTTTTTAGAGTTTCCATAAATGATTCTGTCCCTTTCATTGTGTGGTCAGATCACCAAGACCTCAAATTTGTCCTCAGCCCAACGTCCTCCACCTCTTTTGCCTTCTCCTGCTGATGGTTCAGCCCCCACCAAGCCCCCGTTGTCCACAAATGTCAGTAGGAAGGGGAAGAAACTAAACGTTCAAAATCAGCAAACAGTCACACAGTCTGCTGTACCCAAACCTAGCAGTCAGCCTGACAAATCTGTCAGCCCTGCTTCCCTCCCTGCTGTTAACGTAAGTATTTTTCCACATCAAAATTGTTGCTAATTAGCTTCTAGAAAAGAAAATCTTCTATGAAACTATTTCCTAAGAGGATCAGTGTTTTCTTTAGAATAATCCAGCGGTATTTTCTTCTTTACACACACATTCCTGTAAACATACCTAAGCTCGGAAGCACCTTTGAAACATGTTCCTGACTAAACCTGAGCAGTGTTTGAACCCAGAGCACACATGGAGATTATGACCAGCAGGGGCCTTTATGCTCTACTCACCGCCTACTAAGACCAGACCTACTTCAGGTTTGGGTTTCACTATTTAATTAAAAGCGTGCAACAGTTGGCTGACTCTGGCGGCTGCCAACCTGGCCTCAAGGCAGTGCTTTGGGACTTTTGTTAAGCAGTTGGGTGCCAGTTGGCCCAGAGGCACAAAACGCAGAACTTTCTGGCTAGAGCTTTGGTTTGTATCGAGGGAGGCAAGCGGTCATTGTTGTACGAATGTTGAATGAAACTGAATCTCTCCGGTGTTCAAATGCTAAAGTTGTTGTTTGCAGAGATTGCATTTTGACCTTTTAAGCCCCCACACAGACAGGCTTCTGAGAAATGCATTCGGTTTTAAAATATTTTCATTTTGTTGAAAATGAGTGACAAAAATCAAACAGTAAAATATTTTCAGGCATGACATTTCAGCTGAAATGTTTGTTTTTGCTTTTTGCTGACAGGTCATCGGTGTGCCTTATGACGAGAGGCCTCTGCCAGCACTTCAGCGAAAAGACAGGGCAGTGGAAAGCGTCCAGACGCCATCAGCGGGGAACTCCCCTAAATCTGACGTGCTAAGGTCTCCATGTGGCACTGACCTGAGTGGAGAGCCAGAGCCCCTGACTGAGAAGGCTCTGAGAGAGGCTGGCCTTCCTATTGAGGCCTTTGGAGAGAGTCTGGTGAGACTGTCATGAGTTCAGCCATGGGCAAGTTAGGCTGGGCTGATTTCAGTGACCCTTTTTAGTTTTAGCTGATGAGGAAAAACTTGCTTTGGTGTTTTTGAACCGTCTCCCAGAATGGCACCTTGAAAGAATATTCAGATTTTGAGCTTTTTATTGTTGAGAAAAGCTTAAGAAATAGTAGTTCTTACAAGGCTTCAGCTGGTTTTCGAAATCAGAATTAAGTTTTACGGTCAAAGTCTGTAGATGCCCAGGCTGATGCTGACATCAGCCCAATAATCATAAGACCTCTCCTGGAATCATTCATATGAAGCTCCCATTAAAATAGTACATCATAAAAGATGGGGAGCTTACTTATTAATGAGTAAATCTTTGAAACTTCTGTTTTGGTATTTTTAGGGTTTATGATCCTGAACATTTATTTAACCAGAAGATCAAGCTGGTTTAAAATCCAGCAATGTGATATGTAATTCTTTTGTTGTTTTTTTTTCCATTTTAAGGTTCTGATCCGTGGTGTATGTAGTGCATTATAATTTATGTGAGAACGATTTTTAAAAGGTGAAACATGAGAAAAATTTCAAAACGTTGGGTGCTATCATTGCTAAGTGTGCTTTCTGGAGTTTCCTCGTTTCCCATAAGCTGTATTTTTAAATCATCCCTCTGAAGAAATGTATTCAATTTAAAATTTAAGGGTACCGCTACAAGATGTGATCGACAAAAAGCATATATTTTATGGATAAGGTGCGGTGTATCTACAATATTAATGAGAAACATGCTTTCTCAGGTGGCTGGTGCGTACTCTAAGACCTGGTGCTACAGAGAAGACGCACTGCTTACTGTGCACAACAAACTGCTGGAAGTAAGCGCCACAGCGCCCAAAGACGAGCTGAGAAACTTGATAAGAGCGGCAGTCTTTCTGGTTAAGAAGGCCCTTCTGGATAAAGTTTCATCTGTGAGTCAATTTACTTGAAAGAAGATTGCTTTGATACAAAATGCAACTCTGTTAAAAGACAGTGGATCATTGAAAAGGCAGTATCTTAACAGGCAAATTTATTAATTTTTGCACAACAAAACAAAGTACCAATTTGTTAATTGGTAAACTAAGTGCCAGTTTACAACTAAATGGATATAACAATACTGAAACCAAAAACAATAATGCCACTTATTCAACATTAATTATTGTTAGGAATGGTCCTGCTAGCAAATTGGCCTTAGCAGCTCTAAGCAGGTTTCAAAGTTCCCCAAAAACCCGGTCAGAAGGTGAGCCTGCCAGCAGAGCACAGCAAAGGAAAACTGGATTCTGAAGCAGAGACCCCACCTCTGCTGTCTGCCATCTGTCTTTCCCCTCCCTCCTTTTCTAACCCCGCGTGGCAAAGATGAGAGGCGGCGGATCGGACATGCTCCACAAGCGACTGCTGGTGGATTTGATGGCCATAAAGCCTCTATATGATTCTAGATTGTGAGAGATTGACATAAAAATACTCTGATTGCCTCTGATTAGTTGTTTTCTATTTATCAAACACGCAAACAGAAAACAGAAAACAAACAGAACAATTGTTGGCCATATTTACATAAGATTGCAATATTTCCATACTAAAAAAGATAAACATAGTTGGATGTGTCTTCCTTGCTCTTCATGGCACCAGTGTAACCTTCCCTTGCTCACTTGGTTGTTTGTCACCTTCTTCACTAGTTTGACACAGAATAAAACTCTCTTCACAATGGGACTTCTAACTGTATGGAAGTGGCTCCACAGCTCCACCAGCAAGTCTGGTGGGGAAGCCCTGAGCGTGCCTGAAGGACCCGTTGCATACAGTTACTCATCACATCACGAGGTGGCTCTAAACATACGCATCGATTTAAAATATCATTAGAAATACATACTATTATTATTTTGGGTAAAATTCACATACACATACTTTTCTCTCTGTTACACGAGTATGAAGTGACTCAGATTTACTTTACAGTTTTTAAAGTAACATGTAGAATTTCAACGACTAAGAAATGACAACTACTTCGCTAATTGTTCTTTACAAATCTCATCCATTGCTCCATGTTTTTCTATAAAGTTCAAACTGCAGGCTCAGCATGAATATTAACTTCTCCATTTTGTGGGTTTCGACCATCAGAACCAACCGTTCCTTCAGCATCCGTGGATCAGGTTGAAACCATTTTTAAGTGGTTGCAGAATTTATAAAAATTATGTCAAAAGCTCTAAAAACAACAGGTTATTGTTGAAAACATCCTTGTGTATTAGTTGAAGTAGCTGCTTTTACCTTTATGCTAGGACTGGACAATAAATCAATAACAATACATATCGCGTCAGAAATGTGATCAATATCAGTCGATAATATGTCCAATAATTTCGCTGAACTTTGATTAAGAAACGCACTGCATTCTGGGGGATGTAGGCAGAGGACAGACAGTAGCCACTCAACGTCTCACAGCTTATAAACGTGGCATCAAATAACTAACTTGCTCTTTGTTTAGCAAAGAGCAACAACCTGATGAGTGACTTGAGCAGCTGCTGTTTCAGGTTTTGCCACCATGGCTCATAACAGCTTAAAAATAACTTAAAAAACAGCAGCGTGGAGTGAAAGCAGAAAGGAGAAAATGTGTAGAGCAACTCGAGAGGAAACTGTACAAAAACAGGAAGAGTCACATTGCCAATTTGGCAGTAGTTCAGGTTTTTAAGACAGAAAACTAATCAATAATTATTGATATCAACTAGGAAACACTTATTTCGTGGTATATTTTTCAGTTATATCATTCAGCCCCACTTTGCACTATAACCAATGTATTTCCTGTAAAATAGTGCCATGTTGCAGGATTAATGGCAGAGATGTGTGGGAAGTGTAGTTTTCATCGGGAAATAGTAGAATACAAACAGTGTTTTAAGAAATGCTGTTGAACATTCTGCAGTGTTTTTCCCAACCCAAGGTAAATTTTGCTAAATTTTTTTGCAATAAATTCCATAGCTTCCTGGTTTAAGTGTCACATTGATGCAAAAAGGCTTTGTGTGCTGTCAACATACTTTCTGTGCTACATGCAAAACATTTCGCACAGGCTGCTTCATTACAGCAGGAAATTTGACAAGCTTGACCTTTTATCCTTTCTGTGGAAGCTGATTCCAGTTTTTCATGTTGACGATAAGGGAAGTATAATTATAATTGCACTGATTTCTTTCACACTGATCCTGAAAACTCCTTTAAAGATCATTGAAAAGTCTTTCTCAAATGCACATTGGTGTCCCTGATTCTATTTGGTTGGCTATTTCTGTATAATACCTCAGTAATTTTTTAATTTCTAAATCTACAGTGTGAATCAACATTAATAAGCAGAGAAATATTAAATTTATAGTCATTATTTAAATGCTTAGTTGCCTTTTTTCTTTGTATTTTCTTTCCTTTTAAGCTTTTATTAAATAAATACCAAACACACCTGTAAAATATTTCACTTATTTCAAGTTAATGATTCCTTAAGATATGTAGTTTTACTTTGTTGCTACCAGGTGATTTTTAAAAATAGCTCACAAAGTTTTAAGTCTAACTTGTCTAGTTCCTACCTCAGGTTTTTCACGCCTCACTGAAGCTGCTCCAGTTGATGCTGAGCCAGCTGATCCCAGGTCTGGGCCTTGGCCGGGTCGAGGTGACCCACTGCTTGGAGCAGACCTTACCTAATTTGCTGGCGAGGACGGGAGACTCTCCTAACCGTCTACGGGTGGCTGCCATCGCCCTCATACAGGTAATGTGACACTTCAAGTGACGTGTTTGCTTAGTTCACAGAATGGGTTGGTGTTTTCCTTCTGTTGAGCCTGACTGCTCCGTATCTTTATTTTTCAAGCCCAAGTTGTTTTCTTGTACATCCATGTAAACCAAAGTCAAATGTCATATTTGTCATTTCCAGACAAATGACAAACACAAGGCATTTCCTTGTGCTTCCAGAACACAAATGCAAAATATAACCTGTGTGACTGATTGGCAGACATTCCACTTGCAGCTTGCTAATCATTGTTAGCTAAATCCGTTTCTCTTGAAGCAAAGGAAAACTGTGCGGCCCTTACTTCAGCCAGCATACTGGCAGTGCAGAGCAGCTTGAGAAATCTTTGTTCGCTCTACCATTTTTACTGAGCTCACATCAAAAATATTGAAATGCAGGAATAGCAGGAGATTTCTTTCAGTTGTACTTAAAACCTCAGTCTGCTGTTGCACTTACTACACCTTTGAGGAAGGGAGCTGTTAGTAATCTGATTTTACTGGGTTTTTATTCTGTAATTGACTCAACAGTCTTTTATACATTTATTTGTTTTTAATTTTGTTGAAATGAGAAAAAGTGTTCTTGTTTCTTTTTTCTTTTGTGTTGCTGGGAAGAGGCACGTTATGTGTGTGCGTTCTGGTTTGTTTGAGTCGTGAGTGTGTGGAACGAGTCGGTGCATTTCTTGATGTCAATCTGAAAGTCATTTTGTGACTCAAAAGCAGGCCTGAAGGTCTAAAGTAAGAGGAATCTCTGATCTTAATCTTGCTATGTATGTGGACAAACGGGATTGGATTGCTTTAAACGTGGCTGACAAGCTGCTTTCTATGCCCAGTTGATGCTTGTTTTCAATTGCCCAATATCCCAGCTCCTCCAGTGGGAAAGCAAAGAAGCTGGTGGGATGTGGGCAGAACTGCTTTTAGGTATGCATGATTGGAATCCCCAAAAACCACAATTAAAGTGTCAGTATAACAGTTTGAAGCTGGTTAATAGTACCAAACGGTTCCTTCAGGGCCCTCTGGGAGAAATCTCTGGAAGGAATGTAGACACCACCAGCATAGCTGTGAATTCTCGTGGCTAATGAAAGGACTGGCATTTCCCAATAGCTGCTGCTGTATCAACCGAGAGCTGTGACGACAGCGTGTTACAAATGTCCACCACCTATATTATTACTGGAACTCTCGTCTCTTTTGTCTTCACATAAAGACACTGGCCCATCAAGCCAGATCAGAGACACTGATGTTGTAGAGCCAGGTTTCAGTCAAGGCAAAAAACTTACACAAATTTTGTACTGTGTGTTTTTACTTTAGCATTATGACTTATTGACGAAGAATAAATGTTGGCAATGCAAAGCAATACTGTAACTGGTTTGTGAGGTTTCGCTTAAAGCCGCTCTCAGATCCCTGCCCTGTTGGAACATTTCTAAATGCTGCTATAATAGTTTCTGTCTGTCCTTCTTTAATAAGCTGGACATTTCCTATGTAATTTTACTGTATCCCATTTTCCACCACAGCAAAGGTGTATAATATTTCACAGACCAACGTGTTTCCCTTTGGTTTGTGAAACGGTTGGTGTGATCAAAATCTCTTCTCCAGACTACTGGCAGCTGTTCTGTATTCCTGCGCTGCTCTTGATTGAAATGCAAGTTATGCTTGGCATTGTTCAGGAGAAGATTTTGTCACTTTTCTCCTTCCATATTTGGAGAATCAGACTTTCAGTTGTTCAATACTTTCTGAAACACTTTGTACTTCATTGCAGTATATTTTGTTGGCATTGCGTATAAAATGTAAAAGTATGCTGCAGTGTGCTCCATATTCTACCAAAGACAAGACAACCACAGCATAGATGAACTTGGTTTTGCTTTTGTTACAGTATTTTTACTGTTGGTGAACACAGATTTTTGAGCAGTCGACGTATTGTTTAACAGGATTATTTGAGAGCTCATTTGAGGGTCATCACTGAATTTCAGAAATGTTATCAAAGCAGTAATCCAACACTAAGGCGCTTGTTCATTATGCTTGATTGTTAGGCTTGTCTAGGTTCTTATGTTGTACAACTACTGCACTCAGCAGCTCAAATTTGTCAAGCCTTATAACTTTGTTCAAACAGATAAAGATATTTCCAGTCTACTAATCACAACAATCCCCTTTTAAAAGTGTACAGTGAAGCTAAACAGGAGCTTTGTTTTTAGTGTTAAATTCTTTGAATTAAATATTGATCCATTGTGTTTTTCTATATATTGACTAAAACAAAAACAAACGTCTCAGTTCATTACTAGTGCCAACTGCCTGCTGTGCAGGATATCGAACCTTTTTGCCTCAGCTGGTTAATGAGTCAGGCTATCTGCTCAGGTAGAGCCAGCAGTCAGCTGCTTAACAAGCTCACCAACTTTATCTGTAAAAAAGGCGCAAAATTCATAACAATCTTTAGTTTCCATGTTGTACAACTACTGCACTGTTCATATTTTATCAGACTGTTCATATTTTATCAGACTGGAAAAAGCTACCGAACCGCCCAGATATTCCGTGTCTTTCCAATGCCGTGACTTGTCCTCCCGTGATGAGGTATGCCAATGATCTGGTCAGGAACAGAGCTTCAGGAAGCTGGTCAATGTAAGAGCCCATTCTTTTATCAGCAAGAGAAAATTTGCAGAATATGCAAAACTTAAACAAGAAAATCATGCTAGCATTCACATTTTTAAGCTAAATGATTAAAAAGTTGCTTTGCAAAACTGTATTGCTTTTTTTCAGATTTCAGTTTGTGTTAATCTAAAAAAAAAAAAAAGCTTACTGTAAGCATGATTAATTTCTTGCCTCAGTGTCTCCATCCTGTGCTTTGGCCTAATAAACAGTAAGAGGCAAAGAAGGAGGTGTAGTCATGGTCTCTAAACAAGCCTGAGGTTGTTTTCTCCATGACTCTCCACACTGCCTCCTTTAACTATAATTGGGATCTACTGGAACTGTGAGTTCATCAGAAAGCTGGATATAATTTTCTGTGCCAGGGTGAGACTTAAAAGTGTTTGTGCATGGAGAGACGGCGTGTTGTGTACAGTACAGAATGCTGTAAAAAAGTTTTTTTTATCCTGTTTCAGATTCATTTGGCACTGAAATGTTTCAGGTACTAAATAATCTGAGTTAAGAGAAAAGGCTAGCCAAGCTAATCTGGCTTTATGCAAAAACAAAAAGTGATTATCCCACTCATTATATCAGGATTTGTAATTGTGATTACCTGCATTTTTTGCAAAGGAGAGTTGAATGTTGTCATTTGCAAACAGGCCTGATTACTGTCAGACCACTAGAGTAAAGAAATTAGTTAAAACATTTCCAATAACCCTCTAAATTTTGGGCAATTATTCAGAGGACTGGCAAGAAAATAAATCTTGTTAAAAGTTTCATGACATTTCTAATATACTAATTTAATTCTACACAGTATATTAATACTAATGCAGCAATTCAGAAAAGGAACATTTTACAGACTGTAGTAATGTGATGGGCTGAGGCTGCTTTGTTTTAATTGATGATCATTAAATTTTGCTCCAGAAGATGATTGTCTATCCATTAGTTTGTGATCAAAAGTGCAAGCTCACATGGGTTATGCAGAAGGAAAGCAGTTTAATGTACACTACCTCTAAATGGCTAAAAAGAACAGAAAATCCTTGTTTTGGAGGGGCCTAGTTAAAGTTAGGACCTAAATTCTATTGAAATGCTATTTATACTGGTATTTATACTGAAAAGCCCTACAGTGTGATCGACTTAAAACCGTTCACTGAAAAATCCTCAGCAATATGAAAGATTTGTAGCCGTCATCAGGAATATTTGATGGCAAATATTCCTGTCAGGAGTGATTAATCTCATTATTAGATTTAAGAGCAGTTTCCTTTTTTCACATAGAACCAGCTATATGAAACAAGACACACAGCCTTTTTCAGGCACATAGCCTGAAAAAAGATGACTTAATAAATACTTGTCTTTATTAAGAGATTATCTTTTTCTCTTAATAAATGAAAAAAAATATATTTCACAACTTCTTTGTATTAATAACGGTAATAAAGTTTGTCTGATTATTTGAAATACTGAGGTGTGACAAAAGTGAAAAATAAATCTCTAAGGGAACAAATATATTTTTTATGGCACTGAATATTCTTGCCCCATGGGATTTGTGGCAGTGAACTCATTCAAGGGTGTGAGTGTAAGAGAGGGAGTTTCCTTTAGCTCAGCAGCTCACAGACATTACCAATCCTGACTGCTTTCTACACTGTGCTCCAAACTATGCAAATTGGAATTCAAGTGTCACAAAGACAATTTTTCTTTTGTTGTGCTATTAAATTTATAGATGGTATTGTGTGTCAGGGCTCTTTGAATCACTATAACAGTGACTAACCCCAGAGCTCAAAAGCAGAATCGGTCGCAGTGATCCCAGCTGCACATCTAATCCAAACTCTCTGCCTTGTCTTTAATGACACTTTAGCTGCAACTTCCCCTTTTCCTTCTCTGGGCAAAAAGGAGAAGTGTCTTCGTCTCTTCTGCTTTCTGTGACATGAACGGGGCTCCTCTGCAGGGGAAGACCTGCTCTTCTAGCAGTTGTCACTGTGTCCATCAACACCAAGAGGTACTTCTCACCTCTATTTCCTGTTATCCCCTTTGGCTCTGCTACATCCATGCAGGCTGGACCCCAGGGGACTGTGCTCTCGATGAACAAACCTTCCATCCGTTGCTCTACGTTCCCTGCGTACCGACCACATTCCTAACAGTCCCGCAGCTGCTAAAGGGACATCCAGAAGCTTGCTCAGTTCTTCATGGCTGCGTAGTACGCCTGAATCTCCGAGTGCCTTATGCACGCACCGTACTACTTCACTAGGACCACCATCCTTAGGTGTTTTTGTCCCACCTCGACTCCCGCAGAGACAATCTCTTGGTTGCTTGATGCGATTTTCATCCTTGCCCCTCTGTAGGGCTTCTTTTCAAGTGTGCGCCCTGTCGCTGCACCTCGAGTTTCAGGCAGAGCCTCAGTTCAGTTTTGCTTTCTTCTTCCAAAAGTTGTGATGAGCTGCTTGTTTTCCTCTTGCGCTGTCAAAGTGCTTTTCTCAGGTACTTGTGGCCTTGATTCCGTGTGATGACTTTACCCGGCTTTTTGTGTTGATGTCAGGTGCTGGTGTTCGTTCCTCTGTTGCTGGAGGTCTACTCGACGGCCGCAGCGGAGGATGTCGTGTACTTCCTCGTCATCGTCAGCTGATGATGCTTTTCTTTGGTTCTTGTGCATGCTTGCAGGCTGGTCTTTTTCTTGTCAGCAATACATCACAAAACACTCCAGCAAGAGTGAGCCAGCATTTCTTTGTCAGGAGTTGAAGTCTCAGTTCCTCATTCTTGGAACCAACTTCCCACTTGCTTCAGGTCTTGATTCACAGCAGCTGTGCAGAAAGCTGATGCAGTTCTGCTGAGTTCTCTTCATTTTCCAAGGGATCTGGGCAGCCGGCTTCCTCCAGCTTCAGATTCTCCTCCCCGAAGTGATCATCCGTCACTCAGTCTCTCTGTCGGTTCGAGTTGTCCTTTTGCAAAGCCCCCTTTAGCGCCTCAGGTGGGGATGCAAAATAGACGACTTTGCTGCTAGCTTCACTGTCTGGATCTGGTCACTTATCCTCAGTGACTCGGGTGAGTCCCAAGGATGTTGTTTTAGATTTGGGCTAAAGCAACTTATAAAACATTACCTAGTTTTCTTCCCCAGAATCAAACATCACAGCTATTTTACTACCATCAAAGAACTTTGAGGTGACTCATTAATTGAATGTCCACAACATCTTTTACATTTTCTTTATGCTAAATATTTTATCAGTAAAGCAATTTTGCAAGGGTCAGTACAGCTTAATCAAGTAGCAGAAATAATCAAATAAGTAAAATCAATCATCTAGCCTATCTTTCCCTAACGCTGATACTAAGAACTAAAAAGGGAACCTTTGTGAGACGGACGGAGTTTGGTGTTTCGAACCAGAACTGGCTTGGTGATGAAGAAGGTGTTGCAGGAGGAAGAGGTGGCTGATCAATGAAGGCAGGGATCTCTGTTGGTCTGATGAGCTGTCATCTCTGCCTCGATGGTGAGGTCACACAGGACTTGGGTCTTTATCTTTGCCTTGATCTTCATCTTTGTCTTTGGGGTCTGAACCCAGCCGATGAGAGAAGTGCGATTTGAAGCCACATGGTGCTGAGGGATTGGTCCCCATGCGCAGGACAGTCTTCGGCTCTGTGGCCCCGGCTCTTCTTCAGCTGCAGAGTTCTTTGTCCATCTCGGTCTTGACTCGAAACTGCCTGGAGGATCCAACCAAGGATTCCTCTTTTGCTCTCCCCTTATCAAAATAAGGGGAGATGCGCTTTCAGTGCATTTCCATTGGCTAACACTGTTGCTGGGCTTGCTTTATTGGGTAACTTGTTTGGACAGATGAACTCATGTCATCTGTTCATCCATCAGGCCAAAAGGTCTTAGAGCTCTTAGAGACCTTTTGTCCTGATGTCTTGGCTGATGTCTCAGGGTTACTCAACGTTCCTCCCAGTTTCTCTGACACGTTTAAGTTGTTCAACAATCTATGTCCTAATAAAGCATTGCTCATCTCTGCTTTTCCCGTTAGTCCCCATTTTACCCCTAACCTTTCACCTACTATCTACCTCCAACACATCATCAGTGATATTTAATAGCAGTTACATGTTTTACACCATTTCAAGTTCAATGTCAAAATCACATTCATAATCCTTTTAGTTTCTTAGATTTAGCATTAATTTATAATTTTATAATAACCACAACTTATTACTCTTTTATTATTTGATACCAAAGTTACAGTTACTTGTTTTATTTGTACATTTTTCCACAAGTGAGAGTGTAAATTTCGTATTGTTATAAGTAAACCAATATTAATATAAGTACTTTACTTTAAATCTTATCTAATTACTCAAAATGTTTAGATTTCATCCTTTAAAACTTTTATGCTTTTAAACAAGGACTGGTCTCACCTATTTTTATACTGCAAGCTGGAAACTTACTTCCTCTTTTTCCAGGAAACCTGCTCTTCCTGTCTCATCTTTCTCTCTGACTATGATTTCTTATGATTAGATAGAAAAAAAAAAGTATAATTAAAGCTAAGTTTGCAGGAGACAAAAACAAACACACACAACCAGATTTATTTTATTGCAGTCTGGCTCTACTGTTGAATCTAGATCTCACTTGTGTGACTAATTTTAAAGGTAACTTTATTTGTTGTTACTGTTAACTAAAATCTTCAGCATGGGGAAGTGGGATGATCTCGGATTTTCTTGACAACATGAAGATTGATTTTCAAACAGACTTGTTCACCGATGACTGCTGTGCAACCCTGGATGGTCCAGATGGTCCAGTAGTGGATTGGAGGTGGATGCCCACCATGTTCCAACACGGCTGTGATGTCAGCAAGGAGGTGGTGGAGTCATGCTATGGGCTGAAATCATGGGGAGAGAGAGAGAGGTCGTCCCCTTCAGAGTCCCTGAAGGTGTGAAAATGACCTCAGCAAAGTATATGGACTTTCTGACTGATCACTTTCTGTCATGGTTCAAAAAGAAGAGCTGTACCTTCAGTAGCAAACTCATCTTCATGCATGACTATGCACCATCTGATGCTGCAAGGAATACCACTGTGTCATTGGCTGCTATGGGCATAAAATCGAAGAAACTCATGGTGTGGTCACCATCCTATCATGGTGTGGTCACCATCCTATCCTCCTCTGACCTCTGACCCTATTGAGAACCTTCGGAGTTTCCTCAAGTAGAAGAGCTGAGGGTGGGATGCAGTTCATATCAAAACAGCAGCTCTGGGAAGGTTTTCTGACATCCTGCAAAGAAATTCAAGCAGAATCTTTCCACAAACTCACAAGTTCAATGGAAGCAAGAATTGTGCAGGTGATGTCAAAGAAGGTCCTATGTTAACATGTAACTCTGCCTGTTGAGATGTTTTGGTTGAAATAGCTTTTGATTTTAGCACATGTGAAAACGTAACATTGCACATTCAAAGAATGACCGTTTGCAGTTCTTTATAACCCATAAAATGTTTAGAAAATCTGCTGTGCATAATAATTTGGAACAGTACATTTTGAGTTTTTATTTTTGAAAAAAAAATACAGTTCTCATGGGGAGCTTTGTTCAGTAAAATTTGATTTATAGTGTAATGGTTGATGACTTGAAAATTATACTGGCCATCATTTGCATGGACCATTTAAAAAAATCTGACAAAATATCACTTGCATTACACGGTGTAGATTGGTTTCTGATTTCTCATTCAAACTTTATTTCTTTGATGGACAAACACAAAATTCACTATTTTTGTTTTATATTTCAAATACATGTAGATCTGTAGTCCTCAAAAGTGAGAGAGGGTTTTAGCAGAGCCTTGTTTTGCATATTACACTTGGATCATCTGCCACAACTTGTCAACTTACAGGATGGTTGTGTTGAAAGATAAATTGCTATGTGGCAACAAGCAGATATTTACCAGGAGCTTGCAGGCCACATTTTACCTGATAAAAATCTGTTGGTCTACAAACGCATCAACTAATGTCAACAGTGTAAATCTCATTCTTTCTCTTGTCTTTTGTTTAGGAAATTGCTGTTTTGAAGGATGTCAGAGCCCTTCAGATGATCCCCAGTGAACTAGTGAAACCTTTCAAATCCAACTTCCCCCCTCGTCTGGCTCAGAGTCGGGTTGAGCTGCTCGAGAAACTGCTTGTTGACCTGGGCATAAACAACTCTGGCTTCACCCTAGAAAATGTCATCACGGTAAAGAACCAAAATAATAATAATAGAAGTTTGTCTTATGTTTTGTTTTGAGTTTTTTTGTTTTATGCAATCTTGAATTATTTGAAGTGTCTGAAGTTTGACAGAGTATTCACAAAAAAAAAAAATCTCAACTGGAAATGACTTAAGTAGAGTCTGTTTTGCTTCCTTACATATACTAACAAACATCGGTTGTATGATAGCCTGTGATGATAGCTTCACAGATGGAAAGAAACTTTCTTCCCTTGTTTTGGAATGAATACTGAATGTGGTTCATACATTTATTTTAAGGACACATAAAAGCATCACTCTTACAGCATCTTGTCCCCAGTTATGTTCCTGTGCTAAGTCAATTCTAGTGTTTGCTTTGCATTGGTTCTTCACAGACCTCTTGCTCTGTCAAGCTTTTTCTTAATTTGTCATCAGTCCATTGCAGATCCCACGAAAAACACCACTGTGGTCAGGACTAGAGTCAGGTTCTTGGAGACCAACAACTAATCGAAAAAATGTGACCATTATGTTTAAACTATGACTTATATTAGTTATTTGTATTTTTTTTTCTAAAACCTTGCTGGCAGAGCGACTTTTTTTTGACTTTTTATTTTACCCAGACTTCCAGTAAACTCCTCTCAGCTGAGCCTATGTTGGCACAAGTGACACGCTTCGCTTCATTGGTTTCCAATGATGATCTAATCTTTTTACGTAGTTGTTTTAGCTCCAGCCCTTTCGGGACGATCCAAAAAGCTGCCCAGTCCTCTTTGGTCCACCAACGAAAGTCTCTGTAATCATGTTTGGCCCTCCTCTCGACCCTGCTTGACATTTGTCAGAGAGAGCAAATTGTTAGTTTTGTCATCTCAGTTTCAAGTTTGGGCATTCTTGGAACCAAACTCCTTTTCAGAGGAGGGGAGAGAATGTTTGCTTCGAAAACATTCTCTACCTAGATTGGGCTGTGCCGTATCCCACGGCTCATCTCCTCCTCTGACTAGATTTAGTGTTAGAAATAAGATTTATTTACCTTTAAAATGAACTGCTTGAGTTGACAATAAGTATTTCATTTTGATATTTTGAGATATGATAGGAGAAATGAAGTCTGGTTTTGTTGATTCTCACTGCTTTGGATGTCAACTTTATTAATTTTAGTGGGAATCAGCCATAATAATGGACGGAGTGAAAATGACACATAAAGGTTATTGAAGTATTTTATAATAGACATTGTTACTGATTCCAAACTCATAGAAAGGAATGACCCCATTAAATTGTTTATATAGAAAAGTATTTTTAAAATAAGGTTTTTTTTAAAGTCTAAAGTTTACAACTCAAGCCTGATGAACTGCATACATTGATCTATTTATTCTCTGAAATACGCACATAAACATATTTAACAGCGTCACATTTTCCTAACAACTCTCTCAGCTTGTGTGACGGGCACGCTGTGCTACTCTACAGCGGTATCTCAGTGATAGTTCAAACATTTTTTCTTTTTCCTGTTCTGTTACTGTGGCGATTTGCTCTAAGGCAGGGGGCCAGAGTCAAGAAAAGGGAATTTCCTGCAATTAAAAATGAGAACTGGTCAGCGGAGACAGCAGAGTAATGGTATGTTGTCCCTGAACCTGTTGAGCAAAGGATGGTTGGTCTTTTGACTCTGTTATCTCAGAGAAGAGAATCACAGCACTGAGGTAATACTGCCAGTGGGAACATTACCATTTGGACAGGAGCTCACTACTGAATGCATCCTGATATGTTGGCCTTTAGAAAAACAAAATTACTATATTTTATATTTTCTATGGACACAAGAAGTTTAAATTCTAAGTTTGTTTGTGTATCAAATAAACTTATACAAAAACACTTTAGCAAACCAATGTCTGTTTAGTGAAATCTTTGCAAACCATTTTTCTACAACGTTTAGGATCTGCAGCACAAGATTGAGTTTTGAAGGAAGGTAACTTGTAACTTCTTAAGAGATGAGTGTGAGTCTATGTTTGTTTTTTCTGTAATGGCTGGACGGGCATCGGGATTACATGTGATGGGCTTTACGTGGCCAACGAAAGCACCTCTGGCTTGTGATGTTACAAGAGTAAAGAGACCAGATGTGAAAGCACAGAGTCCCTGGAATGTTGCAGAGAAAACAGCATGAATCTCCATCTCAGGGCTCCAACCGTGTGCAGTATTGCACAGGAAACAACAGGGACAATTGTAGGGTGTCAGAGAACCCCCTGGGGTGGTTTCTGTTTGCAGCTGTAAGACTGTCAAACTACCTGGTACTGGCATGTTTAATCATGTCTTTACAATATGTGATTAGATCTATTTGCCTTTGCATTTTTGTAACAAAAAGAAGGGAAAGATAACAAGGACATTATTTATTTTTAGAAAACAACAAAAACATGTCTTATTTACTTGTGCTTTGCTCCCCAGTGTCACATCTCCACACTTCAGTTCCTTTTTTTTTATTCTTTGGACTAAAACTACAAAATGTATCTTATTTATTCCATTCACGTTGATGTAATTTCTCTTGTCACTTGTCAGTTTTGTACAGCGGCTTTGGAGCATAGTGCAAAAGGGGTTCGAGAGCTGGCAGTAAGCATCATCTTATCCTTGTATGAGCAGCACAGAGGAGATGTTCTCAGCTACCTTCCGCCTAATGATGCTTCCACACAGAAGAACTTCCTCTACAAAACCCTGTTTGATGGATTTGGGAAGATTGACGGAAAAACTGCGGAACTTCAGGCAAATGTTGAATTTATTTATGTATTTTACGTTTGATTTGTTCTTGGGTGTTTTTACTGTGGCTAACTTATTTGCATCAAACTGACAGACAAAGGCAGTATTCATTGTTGTAAACAGATAGTAGGCCAATAAAGCAGCTGCTAGATGGGCAGTGAAACTCTGAGACTCTTAGACATGCCAGATGGGAGTATTCTTATAATCTGAACTTGCAGGATGGGTTTTAGATGAGACTTCATCAAAAAGACAGATTAGAATTTCACAGACGGTGTAGATCATCTGACATATCTCACTGCGTTTCACCCTTTTTTGGTTAACAAATCAGCAAAAGATGAACGCATGCTAGTTCATCATGCGTTCTAATGTTCTTTGGAAGCTTTTATAACATCACTGTAATTTTTAGAAGGAACAATTACCCTGACTTTTTCTACACTAATACTGTGAACTTGTTGTGTAAACTGCAGTGATACGACAGGAATGGACTCTTTTAAGAACCATAGCTGTCTTGCATTTTGCATGCGCATTGTGACGCTGCTTTTGAGTTTAGTTTGAAGAATCTTTTAAAAGAGCATCATAAATATAGACTCAGCAGAACACAAGATTTGACGTGGGCATCATGTACTCAAATTGGCTAACGTTGTGCTGGTTTTCTCTCAGGGTTTGAAAACAGATGTCAGACAGCAGCCTGGACAAAAGGAGAAGAAAGAGATTCACTTCCTTCAAAAACAGCTGGCCGCCTTAAAAGACATCACAGTGGGTGGAGCTGTCATCAGTCTGCAGTTACATCAGCTCTCCCAACATTTGATAATTTCTGTTTATGACTTCAGTCACTTGGAAAGTGGCCACATGCTCTGACATGCTTTTGTTTCCTCTGATGTGTAGGAAAGGGAGAGCGAAGGCACCACAGATGAAACACCCAATCAAGAACAAGGCAAAGCTGGAAAACAGTCCCCAAAAGGTGCCAAAGCAAATGTATAGAAAATAATATTTATTTAAAACAACAAAAAGAATATTATATTCATCTCATAAAATTGCTATGGAATATTATAAGTGGGGTATGAACTTTAAAGAAGTGCATAAACATACAGATGTCAGTCTTTAATGGATGTTTTGTAAGTAGCTATTGTGTATTTTAATGAGCAAACATAAACGATTCATATTATAACTTGCCCTCACAACTTAACTTGCATGTTTATATAAACATAATGTACTATAAATAATGTTCACTTTTCTGTGTCTGATATTTTAACATGTATAGCTTAATTTCCTGCTAAGTCAGATTGCCACCGATTTTTTTTTTAATATCTATTAACAAGCTGAATAGAGTGAGCATTTTAATCAGATACCAAATATTTTTTTATTCTGCGCACATCTGCCACAAATAGAGAATTTACACAAGTGCTAGTCAAATGTCACATTCTAAAAGAAAACTTGAATCATTGCAGATGTAACACACAATTTTTTTTTTTTTTTTTTTTTTGCATGGATTAATTTGCAGGTGTCACAAAAGGGCACCAGAGTCAGACAGCTGACTGCGCCGACGTACAGGACTCCATTGAGTATCTGGATAAGTAAGTAATGTAAAACCCAGTGCAGGCTTGCAAAAAGCTAATTAAATTAAACTAATTTAAATGTGGTCGAGCGATAACGTTTGAAATCCATCCCATAACCTAAAGCTCAGTTCCTTTTGCTGCTGATTTGTTTTATGTAAATTCTCATTTTCACGTCACTGATATTGCACTACAACATCGTCTAATAGGATCTCTGTCTATTCTAGCATGTGCATTTTCTGTGGCAAAAAAGATGAATCGTTTACAGAGGATGGATTGGACCTTCACTACTGGAAACAGTGTCTGATGCTGCAGCGCTGCGATGAGTGTCGACAGGTACATCCATACGTTGGTGCTGTCCGACGTCCCATTGGTTTGGGGCTTGTTTTTACTAACCTTCCTCAAACTAAATCACTTGACAATCTGCTTTAGAGCCACCGTGTCCGTGTGTGTCGTGTTCACAGGTAGTAGAGATAGCCAGCCTCACAGAACACCTGCTGCGGGAATGTGAAAACAGGTCCAAGTTCAGCCAGTGTCCACGCTGCTCAGAGGCCGTGCCCACTCAGGATCTCACTGATCATGTTCAGGGTTCAAACTGTAACCGTAAGTTGTATTTCACCTGGATGGAAAGTCTAAATAATTAATCACTGATAATGATGTTTTGTAATATGTTGTTTGTTCTGGTTTTTATTTTTTTATTTTACTTTTATTAAAATATATAGGTAAAATGACTTTAGGAGAATTTGGGCTATTCATCAAAGACCCCCCAAAAATTGAGGATGAGGTTATGAATGTTTAATCCACATGTCATATGGCTTAACTCATGCATCTGGGACAGAAAACTGAATATAAATCCATCATAGCAATGACTAACAAACAAAAGGTAAAGCTAGAAATTGTCACAACGACGGCATGAATGATGTCTTAGTTCCATTAACATTAAACCATCATGTCAAGCTAGATAATTAGGTGGGCTATGTGCTTGTGTTCAGTGTGTAGTCAACTCCTTAGTGGACATTCTGCTTGTAGCTCGCCAACTGTGGTTTTAAAACTGCATGGAGGTGGTCGTTTAGTTTCCATACTGTAACTATTACAGTTTTTTATTTTCGCAGACTAATAAAAAGTAGAATTGGTTTCGAAGTTTCCACAGTTTGGACAGCTGCATACATTTCCTCAGTACTGGGTAGAACTGGCCTTCAGACTTGAGTCAAACATTCTGAAGTCTGAAAACTATATTTGAAAATATTTGCTTGCGGTTCGGCCCATTCCGTCCGACAGAACTGATGTCACTGGAGATTCATGCATTGATGGCTCGTTCTAGCAATAGAATTGCCAGAATTTTATTGCTCATCCGCAACAAGCAGATAAGCATGTTTGTGATGGATGCTCTAAAACTGCAAAAACAACCACAAGGTTGCAATGACATCACAATTCACTTTCCTAATGTCATACATTCCAACCCTAATGGTTTGTATTTACTCCAGTTACCAACTTCATTTAAACAAAATTACCTTTATTTATGCAGTTTTATTTTCTGTTTTTAACTATTTTCCAAAAATATCTGTTTTCTAGTGATGATTGATTCAACTCAATGAAGTTATTGTGTGTGCTTATTAAATTTATCCTTAGAATAATTATGTGTTAGCAGCTCCAACTTTGATGCAGAGTAGTTCTTCTAGTTATTGTCAGGTGAAATTATCTTTCAAAAGCCAATGTACTGCAATGAGTGGCATCAATAATTAATAGCAGTGATGTTGTCTGCTTTTTTTTTTTCAGTACAAACTGATTAAATTAGTGTTTTTAGCAGTTTAAATTTAGCAAATTCAGCAAATGTAATCATTAAATTAAATTTGTGTTCAGAGTTAAGTTCAACTCCATTCCCAGGCTTAAGAAAATATCCTTCAGTGGGTATTTTTCTTTTAAATTGTGGGGCATTTAACATGTGGTGTTTTTGTTCTCGCAGTTGTTTCAGGTACTGTCTCCGCCTCCAACCACTGTCCTTTGTGTCACAACAACTTTCCACCTGGAGAGGAGGTGAGATTTTTTTGAAGCAACTTAGTTATTCACCAATGAACAACAATGGCTTGAGCATTACTAAAATGAAACGGTGGTGTCATATAGCAAGATGTGTGTTTTTTTGTTTTTGTTTTTTTTTCCCTTCGCATCAAAACCCGTTGAAAAAAACTAGATACTCTACTTAGCACATAATAAATAGGCTTTAGGCAGCAACAGATGGTCAGGGTAAACAACTGGCTATTATCACACCCTTTGTTATTAGGGGTGTTTGTAATTCTCTCCTGGTAAAGAAAATACCATCGCACACTTTACATTTCCATTGCTTCCAAGAATCAATTTATAAAATGTGTGGTCTCCGCTGTCTATGAGCTAATTTAATCATGATTCCTTTGTAAATTAAAATAGGTTTGACTGCGTGTCATCTGGCCAATTATTTAATCTGAAGCAAGACAGAATAATTACAAATGTATGCTTTTTTGTTCTTAAAGCTGCAGTTATAAAAGACACTCACCAACATTAATAGCAGCAAGGTGAAATGTCACAGAAAGGTGTCAGATTTTGGACTTTCTTGAATCCAATTTTAAAGTGCTTGTAAAAATCTCCACAGTTTGTTGAGTGTTGATGTTTACACTTTCATCCTTTACAGTTTGTGGTGTATTGAGTTAAAAAGGGCCCTTAGGTCCACACAGTAGCAGAAGTGATATTTTGTTTTTGCACCTTGAGAGAGAGTCTGTGGAAATGTGGAATATGTTTGGGCCTTCATTTTTAATTGTTGTGATCATTATGCTTGATTGCTTCTGGCATTTTCTGGTAAGTTTGAATTACAAGATTTGAATTTCTGTTGTTGCTCCTAATCTATGGAACAATTTGCCTTTTCAGATTAGATCTGCTAGCAGCCTGGATCATTTTAAATCGCTTCTCAAAACTCATTTTTATTTGTTGGCTTTTAACTGAAGCAATTTTTTAATATTCTGTTTTTATCTATTTGTGTTACTGTTGTTCCTGTGCAGCAGGTTGTTTTAAAGTGCTATATAAATAAATTTGACATTGACATTGACAAGATGGATTTCTAAAGTTGTATTATGCAACAGCGCTACCAGGTTAGGAATAAATTAATCCAAACAGGAGGAGAAACTTTAGACTTTAGACTCCGTTATTGTCCATTTAAACTTACATAAAATGGAAATTTATCTTTGGCAATGGCACAAGAAACACACAACACAACACACATCACAGTCGCCACAAACCTGCATGCACAATGAACAATCAAGATCTGTAAAATAAAATCAAGTCATATTACTCTACTCATGTCATTCAGTTAAATATTAAAAACCATTTAAAATTTACTATAATACTGCTAAGAGAGCACACAGAACTTCTACACTGAGTCACAATGCACTGTTACTTTGTGAAATTTAAAATCGGTGGAATACTACTAGCAGACTTAGAGAACACATAATCTTATCTATTCTCAATTAATAATTAATATATTCAGATTTTTATTCAGAATATCCACAGCTGATGGAACAAATGATTGTTTGTAGCCATTCTTCCTTGCCATTGGGACTTTAAATCTACGTCCAGATGGCAGCAACTGGAGAGAACAATGAAGAGGATGAGTCGGGTCCAGATAGACTTGATGTGCCTTCTTTGTTAAGGCCCGCATGTGAAAGTTGCCGCTGTTTAAGTCCAATAATCTTTCCAGCCTGGTTGACAATCAGTCCCAGTTTGTTCTTTTGTTTGACAGAGAGGTACCCATACCATGACACGATGTTGAATGTCAGCACACTCTCGGTCAAGGACTTGTAAACCATGGACATAGTTCGCTGACTGGTGTTAATCAATCGATCAATCAAATTTTATTTGTATAGCACATTTCAGCTACAAGGCATTTCAAAGTGCTTTACATCATAAACACAAAACATAAAGTCATGTAAGTGTTTTTTTTTTTTAAGGCCCCTGAGTCTTCTCAGGAGAGCCACCTGTCTACCTGTCTACCTTTTTTAAATGTGTAATCCACATGGTCTTGAAACTGTAGGTGACTGTCTATGACTGTCCCAAGGTATTTAAACTGAGTCACCTGCTCCACCTCCTGACCCTTCATGCTGATTGGCCTGAAGGTGTGCCCCTGGTCTTTATTGCCTCCCTTCTTGTTGCTTCCGAGCCACATCTCCTTGGTTTTGGAGACATTAAGGTCCAGGAAGTTGCTGTCAAACCATGCAGATATGGTGTTAATATACTGCAGGTAGGGGCAGGTATCTGCTTCCCATAGGCAGGCAATTAGAGCCATGTCATCTGCATACCTGATCTGACGCTGACCTTCGACCCTGATCTGATGCTGACCCTCGACCCTGATCTGACGCTGACCTTCGACCTTTCTGCTCGTTATGATAAACATACATATCTATAATTCTTTCCTCTGAGCTTCTCGTGCCTCTGAGAAAAAACTCCTCACCTTCCAGCCTTGGATTATTTTGATTTACAGAAACGTTTGGGAATAATTTCCATTTCTTTACTAAATTTGTATATGCAACAGCGCTACCAGGTTAGGAATAAATTAATCCAAACAGGAGGAGAATAAAATAGATGTCTTGTCTTCGAATGTATTTATTTGGGTCGATGTTTGTTTTGTTCCTGTAGTGCACCAATGTAAAATCTAGAGTATTTCTAAGATGCTGAATAAAGTTAGATTAAATTTGTCACAAACAAATTTAAGACAAGCGGGGGGTTTTTTTGTTGTTGTTTTTTTGCTCATTAGGGAATGCTTCTCGTCCAAAAAAATACAAAAAGGTAAAATAGAGAAAAAAAGTAGAGCTGAAAATTCCTTTTGATATCTCACCTCTCATAACCTAAAAAGGGTTGCAGAACTTCACAGATTCTCTTTGCCTTGTCTGCGAGTGTGAACCCAATGAAAGAGGGCACTGTTGGTAAGAGAGAGGGCAACCAGTCAGACTTTGACTGGGCCTACAGTCACCTGTGGTGGTCCGGGTCAAGAGGGTTCCTGGTGCGGGAATAAACTCACTGTGCCACTTTTGTCCCTGCTCCAGGCCTGGAAGACTCACCTCATGGGCAGAGAGGGCTGTAAGCAAAACTCACGCAGGACTGCGGTGTCCCAAAGAACCCAGCCAGCACAAGGTGAGGCATTCATCTGCCTCCTGCCTGCATGGTGTAGGGTGCAAGAGGTATAGAGTTCACACTTGTCGGTAAAAGTTTAATGGTGCACCTTTTCCAGTACCATTTTCTCCCTCAACATTGACAATTGACACAATAGCAAGATTAGCTAATGAACCTTTCTGTCCAATGTTTTGTAGGAGTTCTTCGTTTTGTTGTCTTCATTGGCTCAGTGTCTGCTTGTTTTTTTTTATTTTATTTTGGGGGATTTGTAGGTACTTTTTCAACAAGCCTGGTGCAGACAGACCATTAGTGTTTCCCACTAGAAAACAAGCTGCAGATGCATGTTTCAGATTGAAAATGGGGCTGCATATAAACTAGTATTTCATAAGTTTTGTCTGGATTGTTTTGCCTTCTGTTATATCCTTACTGTTTTCATCAGTTTCCATATGAAAAATGCATGGTGCGATGAGTGCTACTACACCTTCTGCCAACACTAATAACAGCAAAGTGACATAATGAATTTTTTAATGTCAGCTCTGCACATCAGAGACCTGAATTTGCATCCATTCGGATTGAGCTTCAGAATGATCTTCCAGTGAACTCTGACCAGCTTCCTTGTACCTGCGGAAGAACAGCATTCTCACAGCATGATACCGCCATCACTATATTTTGCTGTTGAGATGGTGTGTTCAAGTGTTTTGCATGCAGGCCGTAGAGTTCGACTACAACACTTTCTTAAACTTGTTCTTTATGTAGTTTATCTGGACTTCTGTTGACTTTTCAACAATGGATTTATGGAGTGCATGACTAATAATTGTCCTCCCACCTGAGTTTTCTGGGACTCTTCACAGATAACCTTCTCTGCTTCTCTTATGGTAACTGCTATTTGGAGCTTTTGGGGGAAAATGGCAATGCTAAAAAAACAAAACAAAAAAAAAACAACACTGTGTTCTGATGACAAAGTGCAGACGTTTTTGTGCTTGTGTTATGTATACAAATCTTCTCATGTTATGTTTCATGGTGTGATAAAGTTCTGGAAAGAAACCGTTGAATGCTCCACAGAACAATTGCATTTCTGTTTTGCCATCATGAACTTTTACTTCATAGACGCTTCCTGCTTATAGTCCCATCATCAGGAATGCGGGCTGCATTCATTGGAGTCAACGTTGGTGAATTTCCCTTTTTATTGTAAATTTAAGGATGACATTTGTGGGTGTGTTTATTTTTCCAGGTAGGGCTGCTGGAGGAATAAAGCAGTCGTTGTTGGTCAGAGCCAGAACCAGAACTGGGCCCGGGGGCAGAGGCAGCCGGATCCCATCCCTGACACCCATGGCGAGGAGAAACGCTGCAGGAAAGCGCTGAAGCTGGTCGCTCCCAAACTCCATCATCCAAAGACAGTATATAACCAGAAGAAACAACTCCCCCTGCCCTCTCATTTGAGAGCTATTGACAAAGGGTGTGCACTCAAGTAGGTGGACACAAAACTGTGATTCACCATTAAGTCGATCTAGTTCAGCCTGTTGGGTTTGAAACAAAAGCTTATTTTGTGTAAGAATATCGGCTGACTCGCTGTCCTGTCCGGAAGTGAAACCTCTACCAGTAAACACCTGTGAGGCCAGTAAATATGAGCGCACTGTGTGCTTGTAAGTGATACGCCCCTACAAGGCTTCTCATCTCCTACAGTATTATATTTGTCAATGCTGTTCAAAGCCTTTATATGTTGCTTAAAGGGAAGTCTCACCATTCCTTACTGTGGAACTATCAATAATTTTAATCATAAAGATCACATTGGAAAATGAAGCCATGTTGAGGGTATGCTGATTTATATTCCCAGCGACTGGTTAAAATTCAAAAGTATGTGATGCAGCATTTCCAGTTATGCAGCCAGCTGCATCTTTTCAGTCCAACTTCTCTGCTCAGTCACTGCCTACATTTTACACAATGCAAGCATTCTGCTGGAAGCAAAGTTTCACCAAGCTGAGACAACACTGAACACATCAGTCTGACATCACCAATGACATGTCACGTCTGTTAACTGAATGCTCTGTGCAAAAACGCCTAGATGCCCATTACAGCAGTAAAAGCCCTTCAGTGATTTCTCTCTCCTATTTAAAGAAAAAAAAGTTTAACTGCATTGTGAACAGACATAATCTTATTTTATGTCTGTTTGGTTACACAGCAGAAAAATGAGAGATAGGATTGGTTTGCTTTTTCTCAAATTTTCTGCATATTTAAAAGCTTGCATACATGGAGATTGTCATGCCTTTAAACAATTTTGGAAAGCCCAGGTGCCAGGTTAGCCTCTACTTGAAGACACATCACTGTATTTATTGTATAAATTTTGCTACTTTCCTTGAGTGACATTATGGAAAAATCTAAAGGAACCAGCCAAGATACCAGAATTATTGATCAAATATTCAGAAGTATAAGCAACAAGGAAAGATCCACTCATCATACAGATCTAGAAGGATATAGCTCCTACTTTGGGATATTAGCAACAACCAACTCCAAGGTGAAGATGCTTGCTGAACCTGCTGAGAGTCTTTGTCCAGAGGCAAATGACACCTATACCAACACGGGTCGAAAGGTCACCTTGCAAGGCAGAGCCCATTCCTCCAAACTCAGCATAAACTACCAGATTACAGCTTGAAATTGGACTCCGAGAAAATAACGTTAGTCTCTGAAAACATCTTTGATGGTCAGATCAAAATGCAGTTGAAGTTTTTGGCTTCGGTGAAGATTCTAGGAAAAAGGGGGAAGCTGAGAACACTGTCCCTAATGTGAAGCACTTCACCAAATAAATGGCGTCATGAGAAATATAGAAGCGGTATTTTATTCGATCAACAAGGAAGTTCATGACTTTCCACAAAAGGGCCAACTGTTACAACTGTGGGGAGAGTTGAAAAGATGTGTGTGTGAGCAAAGCGACCTGCAAACCTCACTCGGTTAAACCAGCGGCGTCAGAAGAGCAGGTGAAATCTCCTGAGCCTTGTTGAAAAGAGATTCAATATTTTAACTAAATCCTGGAGCTTAAAAGGGAATTTTCTAAAGACTAAAGAAATTAATTTGAATATCAGAATTTAAGAAAAGTACCAAAAAACATCTTAAAATTCAATTAACCCAAATTCATTGAAATGGCATGTCTGAAGCATCCTAATCTGAGCTTTTGAAAATAGTTTCAAAGGTTTAATCATCTTAATGTGTGTAAACGTATGAATTTAAAGGAAATGGTCAAAGATTCCTCATTTAGCAAATAAAAATGCATTTAACTAATACAAATAGTGTTTCTAATTTTGACTGAAATTGTCAACACTTAAGTCCGATTAAATGTCTGCCCTCACCAGACAGTGAGGGCAAAAAGGTTAAATTTTTTTCATGCTGTCTATGCAAATACCTTATTTGAACTTTGGCGGAAACCGCTCTTCCGCACAAATCTAAGCCTCTATTTGCAAGCGTGTTAAAACAAGCAGAAGTAACAAGTTACTGGCTCTGTGGCAACAGATCTGACAGGCCTTTCTTCTTCAAGCCATTACAAAGCTGCCCAAGCTTTACTACCACCATCAGTGAGCCGTCTGCCCTCGCGTTCCCCAACTATGTCTTTCTTACACAGGGAATTAAGTAACACTTTGCCAAAGAAATTTTGTTACCAGTTGTTTTCCTGAAATTTCCGAATGACAATCTTGCAAATGAGTGTTCTGAACTAAACCTTAGCTGTAGAGGATATTAAATTAAAAATAATGAAACAAAGGAAGATTATTGCACCATTTAAGTCACACTACAAAGGTTAACAACTGCCTAGAGTATTTATTCAGCTATTATTTTAATGTGCAAATGTCTTTTGACAGTGCTAACTGAAACACATTAGGAAAATGTGACAGAATGGATTTGAATATGAAATAGTCAGAAACTTTTGATGTGTTCTTGAGCTCCAGCCTTTCGCACTTCATGAAGCTGTTCGTACAATGTCAAAGTTTAATGACAGAGCCACCACCGATCAGCTGCTGTTTTACAACACGCAGCATATTTAGTTTCTAACACGGCATGCTTTTGTGTGGACTTTAATATGCTGTCACATTATAACAGTTTTCCTGGTGCTTTCTGTGCACTGTAGTCAGTAATTCTTATGACATGTTTGCTCAATAGCTATTTTTCTATGGAAGTGTATGTGTGTGTGTGTGTGTGTATATAAAATAAAGCTGAATGACAAATAACCAAATGTCTCTGTGAATGTTCCGGTCGTTGGCTGCACCAAAATAAAGAAGAAAATAATCTTATTGTCTGTTGAGAATATAATGAGTTTAGTCAAATTACAGCTGGGTTGCTCTCCAAACATTTCTGTTAATCAAGTGATGACACCAGACATGCTACATTTCACAAAGTGACTTTGGGATTCCAGTTTTATTTTCACAGAGTACAAGAGCTATAAACATGAGTTCCTTTTTCTTTGGTCCTGAACTGAGGAGTGGTGGAAGGAGTTTTAACCTGCAAATTTAAACACTATTCCTCCAAAAGTCCAAAAAAAAAAAAAGCGTTGCCTCTGCTTTAGGACTTCAGGGTTTTAAATGGCACAGACTGAATTTGAAAATGTTCAAGTCTTATTAGTTGGAGCTTTAGTGGTTTTACAAATTACAAATCAACCAAAAGAGGTCCAACTCAAAGGTCCACGGTGTTCAGTCAGCCAGGTTTCACACAGTTTCATCTGACCTGCAGAGAACACCGACAGTTCCTCTCCACTCAGTCCGCTGAAGATCAAATACAGTCGGAATGATGAGAAAGAAAACTTCCGGACGATTTAGTTGATCGACTAAAAGTTTATCTCATAGCCTGCTGGCTATAAAGGTCCGTCGTGCGCAAACCAGATCCTTGTTGTGCACTGTGCTCCACATCCTGAGCAGCTCCTGCGCGCTCAGCTTGTGCACCACGATGAGGCTCTTGTAAAAGCACGGCTCCCTGTTCATGGAGCTCACCTTCTGTCTGGCGATGCCGAAGGTCCTGAAGCCCGAGTGGAACTCCGGAGCCACGTTCAGCCTCTTCAGACACATCCCCAAAAACACGTCGTCGATGGGGTACAGCTCCACGCCCTCCGAGGCCGTCAAGAGCCTCCTGGCCAGATGGGAGGACATCACGAACCCGCCACCCCCTACGTAGGGCGGGTACGGCTTGTCGTAGAGCTCTTTGGGTATGTAGTATTTGCTCTGGCGGTTCCGGATGGGGGTCGCCTTGGAGATCGTGTCCCCCACAAATAAGTCGGCGTCTTTGCCTTCCTCCACTTTGAAGCCGATGAACTCCAGCAGGTTGTAGGTGTTCACAAACACGTCGTCGTCTCCTTTGAATATGAACTGCACCCCGGGACAGTAGATGTTGAACCATTTGAGGAAATTCACCTCCTTCAAGGTCAGGTTGAAGAAGGTGTCCATGAAGTCCCACTGCAGGATGTCTTGGTAGATCTGGTCCTCGTACTCGATCAGTTTCTGGAGGTTCTTGGTGTCTTTACCTGTCGTCGGAGTTCCGAGTAGAAATAACGTTTTGATCTTCTTCCCGTTAACTGTGCCCTCCCTGCCCCAGGTTTTACGCACAGCTTCCCGCCGGTCGTGCTGCTCGATAACGGACTTGATCACCATGATGAGGTGCACCTGTCCGTCCGCGCATTTCTCCGGGTGGTTGATGAGCATGGGGAAGTACCTACAGTTTCTGTGCAGAACAAACTGGTGGAACCTCGGGTCCAGACGCTGGAACCAGTCCTGGCTCTTCACCAGCTCGTCCTCGCTGCAGTTAAGGACTCGTACTTCCCAGCTGCTCGGGGTCCCGTTGGACGCCCGCTGCGCGTCCACTCTGTTGCTTTGCGCCGCGGCATTTAGTCTCCAGAAGTTGGACTTCACCGGCGCCTGTCCTGGAGGGAAACAGTCCGAGCCGCACCAGCTCGCGTCCTGCACGCCTTTTTCCGACAGTTTCAGCTTGAGGATCATCAGAACAGACGCGAAAACAAGGCAGAGACTCAACAAGGACTTCACCAAACCTGCCCGCTTTCTCCGAAAGATGTGATCCATATCTGTCACCGTGGCGCCCCGGGACCCTCAGATGCTGCGCGTTTGGACTTCATGCTGTTTCTCAGCCGTGCGTCCTATTGGAAGCATCCACCGCCGTCCATCCTCATGCGCTCTTGCAGCAGAGTGAAGTAGTCCCTCTGTCAGCTCACGTGGACGGTTGTCACACATCAGTGTGGATTGTGGCTGGGTGGGAGGGGGGGAATAAAAAGATACACATGGCTCGCAGGCGCGCTCATGACCCTTTTGGTCTCCTAGCAGACTGGAGACCTGCTGGAGGACCGCCTCACCCAAATATCCCCCACCTCCCCGGGATCTGCCCTGAACCAGGGCAGATCATCATCAGGTGCCTGACACGTCATGTTGGTGTCTGTACTGGATTTATTTTCTACTGATCAGAAATGAGAAAGTCGGAACTGTTTTGTCGAACTGTAAAAGACAAGCAGAGCATCCTTAAAAGACTGTAGCTTACAGTTCTGATCATCGGTGAAGTGATGAAGTGCCTTAAAGAACATATTTATGCATTCTGACCAGTTCGGGTTCCGGAAACTGAGATTCTGCATAAATACAGACCGGATCATCTCGCAGCAGTTTGTGTGATCAAGCTGAGATTATTGATCTATAGATCCCTTTGATCTGCTGCCAGTTTGGTCTTTTTTTCTTTTCTTCCTGCGGCTGAATCCCTGGAGTCACTGGCCTGCAACACAATGAATCTGCGACTGACCAGATGATCTCTTGCACAGAGAGACAAGACTCCATTCCTTTCAGCTTCTGTGAATAGTAAAGAGTTTACATTTGTTTAAGGGACAACCTGTAAAACCTGCAAAAAAAAATGCAATTAAATCTATGTCTCTAGATTTAATTGCATATTTTGCATTGTTTTACACTAGACGAGCACACGCCATTTACCTTTCATTATTAATGTTTTTTTTTCCTTCTTTCTCGCAAGTCGTTCAATCTTTGTTTTGCTGTAGTGGTTAAGCTGTAAAATTAAACTATATTTCGTCTGAGGGTTTATTATGTGCTTGTCATTTCTTTGGGTTTGTTACTGAGAGAAGTATTGTGACATGTTGCGGCGCGGTGATCGGCGCTTCGTATTTCTGGTGTTTGAAATGTTGTATTTTGGTGCTTTTAAGTAACTGAAAACAGGTAGGTACTCCATGTATTAACTGGCAACCAAACGAAAACAAGCTGCAAGATTATCCTCTTGCCCCCTCTTGTGGACAAATATGTGAACTACATTGATCACGAGGCGTGATATTTTTTTCAACCTCAGGCTTCCTCGCAAACCACACGGTGACTTTTCCCACACACTTAGACCAAAGATAAAAAAGAAATTACCTCCACGTTAAGATTTCATTTCAACACATAATAATAATAATATGAATAGTTAGGGATAGTTACGTACTCAGTTGCAACTTGCAGATGTTTAGTTTAAGGATCGTCGAGATTACTTTGAAATAAGATGACACAATCTCATCTCGAAGTTTCAAACCAAAAGGCTGTCTGGTTTTTCTCTTTTTCAACAGGAAGACTTTGGAATCAGCTAATGCGCAGTTCAAATGCGCGTTTGTGTCATACTAAAAAACCTCCCTAACAGGGATAAATGTTCGTTCAGTATTCACAACCCGATGTAATATGTTTGTTTCATGTAGAAAGAGATTGACCCTCCCCACTGTAAACTCTTTGGTCGATAACGTTCAGGACTCATATTATTTATTTACATTAGCTTCGTCCGCAGACGCGGGCTGCGTTCCAACATTTTCACTTCACCTCTTCCTCTTTCTAGGATGTGACGTGGCTGGGGACACACTTATTTCTTCGGGCTGAATGAAGACTAAGTTAACATTTTGTTGATACTTCTCGCAACTACCCGAGTCATAGTCCGGAGGAAAGTCGCCAACCCTTCGTAGTGCACCTACCTAGTGAACGAGGGAAGAGATTTGGGACGCGGCCCGGGGGAGAGTACGCCGCAGTGCCAGGACAGGGACGCGATGACCTCAGCTTGAACCTGACAGCAGGAAATACACGGAGCAGGCGGCGGTTCACACGCAGACAGACGAGCGGCATTCAGCGACGGCGGCACAGGTTTTCAATTTCCACCGCCTAATAGTTGCTTATCGCTGTCATTTTTAGTCACGAAGCGAACAAAGAGCGAGATATTTGGAACCGAAGTGGCGCCGGCGGCGAGCGATGCACACGGTGAGAGCTAACCGAGTCAACCCGGGGACGTCGTGTTATGTAATTAAATAAAGTATTTGAGCTTTCAGCACGAGGGCGTAAAAGCAGAAAACAGTTTTTCGACGTGTGGTTTGGAGCGCACAGCGACTCTTTTCGGCTGTAAGCCGTCCTGTCCCGGTTGTTAGCCGGTTGATGGTCTTGCTAAGTTAGCAACGTTTCTGGACAAAAGGTGTCGAGATGGAGAAAATGTTTCGGCGTCCGGAGCCGCGACTGTCCTGTAATTTGAGACTTTGTCTGACATTTCTCGCTTTTTGTTGGTCAAGACGGGATGGGCGGGTGTCGTTGGGGCTCAGGAACAATCACTGTGGTTGTTTTTGTGATAAATATTGTAGGGAAAATACAGTTAAAGCCGTTCAGTTAGCGCGAGCTCTGCTCCTGCCTCTTGTTGCTTTAATCAGATAGTGGTGAAAATGTCACAGAGAAGTGGGACTTTTTTATTTCTAGTTTATGGAAGAACATAATATATTGTACTAAACAAAGCCTGCATTCTTTATCCATCTACTTTGTCCATCTGCAAATGTCACATTACCTTTGAAAAAAAAAAAAAAAAGCTGTCTTATCATTTTTTATAATTATCTACCAAGAAAAGTGTTATTTTGAAAGGTTAGTCCGTTTATTTCTGTTTTTGGTATTAAAATGAGAAAAACTTTTTTTTTTTTAATGTAAAATGTTTTCCTTAAATGGGATGTCTCATCCCATTTCTTCTATAGGATGAAACATATTTCTGGAATATATTTGGGATCATAATGTTGTATTTTTTTGTGTGAGCGAGAAGATTACAAGGGTTGGGAACTTCTGCTATAAATTTACCGGCAGATGGAAACCTTCAGCCTCACCAAGAGTTATACAACTGAAGTGTGTGTTGCTCTTCACCTGACAAAACGTCTTAAAACACTCGTCAGTGAAGTTTTACTTTGTTTTTGTTTCTATTGGACTCAGATGCTTGATGGTCTGAACAACTGGAGCTTTTGAAGCTTTCTAGTAGCTGCAGCAGTGGCGCTCGGTAGTCTCACGTTCTGGTTTTTGTTTCTTTTAAATCTCAGAGGAACCAGAGTTTGCTCAAAAATGTAAACACACTCGGAAGAACTCTTAAGGGCTGGATTCAAGTCTCGTTCTCCATATCTGAGACATCTACAGCACAACTCACTTTTATCCTGACTTTTACCCAGCCTGTAAAATCTATAAAGTGATCAGTTTGTGATGCTGAACATTAGATAAACATATCGCTTAAGATTAATTTACAGGCCGAGTCAGACGTCAATAATCTGAAGGTAATCTGAGTTGCCAGGGAGGCTTTGTGAAAACATTTCGCTGAATAACTTCAGCTCCCTGCGATCTGCTAGTGTTAGAGCAGCTGCACTGAAGCCAAAACATTTAACTAACTAGTTGCTACAATGATATGTGGTTACTGAGGAATGTTTTTATTTATGTATTTCTTTTTCCAGATGCCTAGTCAACTTGATAACATGACGTCTAGAAAAAGGAAGCGCAGCTCTGAGGTCAGAGCCTCTAGGAAGGTTGGTTTTGAGACCACAGCTTTTGATCTGATTGGTTTGTTTTTGTTTTAAGTATATTTATCAACCACTTGATCTTTCTGCATGTGCACATTCTGTCACAGGTTTCTGCTTTGGAGAAGAAAAACTGTAAAAGCCAGAAGATGCATTTGTCGCCAGAGGACAGTTCAGCGCTGAGAACATCCAGATCCACAGATAAACTGTCTCGTATCAGCTGCGAATGCCACGAGACTGCTAACAAGAGGAGGTGCCTGGGTTCACCCGAGCTCGAAGGTCAGGAGGGCAAAGAGAACGAGCTGAGGTCAGAGCAGGAGGTCAGCAGCTGCAAAGCTAACAGCGTCATGGAGGAGCAGGTTCCTGAATGTGTGGAACTTGAAAACAGTAGCAGAGTCTTATTCCCAGATGACGACAGTAATCAAATCCTTCCTGTGGAGCAGTTCTTCGGGAACTTGGATATTGTACAGGTTTGTGGTCTGCAAGTTGTGTAAGTTGCTATTATTACAAGTTAAAAAGCCCAAATGTGTCAGAAAAGGTCATGTTGAACAAGTCGTATCAGTTTGTTTTTGTGCTTACGCAATTTCTGTAGGGACTTACAAAGTTCAAAATTTAGTAATCATTCAATAACAATAAAGAAATTGAAGTCCTTAAATATGCCTAGATTTTTCAAGCAAGCATCAAATTGCCGTTATTAAGGAGATTTTATTTATTCTGTCAGATGTGTTGCATATTAAAAATGGAAAGCCACCTTTGTTTAAGATTTAAAATTTGTTCCTGTCAATTGAACATACAGTAGTTTGCTGTCCTGCTTAAACTGGGCCTTGGCCAAAACTCTTGTACGAATCTCTGTTTCTGCAGGACTTTCCTCAGAGATCACCTGCTACTTCTCCCAGCGCTCGAAGGAAGGAGAGGTTTCGGCATTACTACGCACAGGAAGACAGCGATGGCGAAGAGGTGAGCCACGGCGGCCTCCCACAAGACGACAGAGCCGGCACTTAGCGAAGAGCCGGTCAAAATGGAACAACATCCCAGCACTTTGGAACAAGCGACAACAAACTACCTGCTGATTCTGCATTCAGTCGGTCCTCTTCATCTGTCGAAGTCTCAGCGCCATCACTGATGCGAGGATAATGAAGGGTGGTTGGTGGTACTGGCTGTCAAATAAATACTTCATTGGCAGTGTTTCTAGCTGTGTTAAAGTGCGATTGTAAACACAGAAACGTTCTTCACTGACAGCATCCGGTTTGGTGCCGGATGTTTTTAAGCTGTTTTCTCACATGCCAACAATCAGTAAATAATTTTAATATGTAAGCAAACACACAAGTGCTTTTTGAAACCGTATTAAGATTTGCATATACTCTCATAAATCCTTGCTCGATTGTAGCTTACTTTCTTCAGAGCTCTCAGCGGCACTTCAGGAGATATTTTAAAAAGAACAAAATATAATGACAACAGATTGACTAGAAATGCATCATTCAGAATCTTCCTGCCAATTTCCAATTTTTGCAAAGCTCCAAGCTTAAGTTGAATGTTGATTGTAGCCAATTAAGTTTTCCCTCCAGGAGCTTTCAGAAGATCCATTTGTTGTCCTTCCATAAGCATCTTAAAATTGAAAGCGTAGAGTCTTCTTCTTTCTTAACTTCCATGCTGAAGTGTTATTGTAACACCTGGCCTGTTTTTTTTTTTGTCGCACTTATTGATGTGGTAAAAAAAAAAAAAAAGATTAAATTTGTCTGGTCAGAGCCAGTCAAATTGAAAATCTGCTGCTTCTCTTTTTGAGTATTGATTAGCTGATGCAAAATATCAATGTCAAGGTGCTCTGAATGACAATATTTCTGCTTCAGGCAGTGTACTTTAAATTCTGGATTGTGGAAGGGCTGAACACAAATCTGATACGGCATCGTTTTCCTATCATTTGAAATAAACTACTCACTTAAAAGTTGAATAGTTTCAACCCAGTCCTTTAACTTTCTACAGGCAGTTTGTATACGTGCTGTATACTGTACTGTCATTTCAGGATTGCTGTAATGTTACATAATCCTGCTGTATCATATCAGGATTCAATCACTTTAACCTTCACTCCAAGATGCCAAATATTGCTGAATTAAACTTAACATTTTAAGGGTGCTTGTATAACAAATTAGTTTATGGACTGATGAAAATGTCATTCAAATTACAGCAGATTGACAAATATGCAAACTTATAACTCCTCACAACTTAAATGTTATGAGGAAAGAAAGATGGAGAACACCCAAAGAGCAGATCTGTTTATTACAAGGTCAGAGATGAATGTCATATTCCAGCCATTTTTCACCAAGTGTCTAAAATCCATCCTTAAAGGTTTTTGGCAGCTTTGTAACATAATGTCTGTATGTAGATAAAAAAATGTATATATATATATATGTAGACACACACACCAGTGCAGCTAATTATTCTTTATATTCCTACTGTTTATAGTTGCTAAACTTATTAGATGACAAAGTTGATTTTTCTGCCTAAGAATCTGCAGTTTAACTAGATTTGAACAAACTTGATTGAGAAATATAACCTTAACAGGTTATCTGCAATTGCACTAGAACTATAGCCACAGGTTTTTGTATATAGCTGATTTATCTGACCACTTAACAGAAATATTGTATATTACTGCCTTATTTATGTAAAAATAATTAACATTTGTCTTCAGTGTGTAACTCAGACTGCTTGAATGTCTCATTATTTGGGCAACATTCTTAATCCATCCATATATTTGACATGATTGTGCCACACAATACAATAAAAAGCTTTTCATGATTTACAAAACTGTTTTGTTTCATTTTGTTCAATGAAAGACAAGTTATAAATTTTACAGCAAATAAAAACAAATTTAAAAAACATCAAAATAAAAATGTTTCAGGTTAAACGCTTTTTCTTCCCTTTTGTATCTCCTTTTGCTTTCCTTGCATTTTTACTAGTCCTGAACATCTTCTTGGTGTCACACGTCAGGTTGTGCACTCCCTTTTTGTGGCAGACGATGTGCACTAGCTTCAGGTTTTCCCTGGTGAACAGCATTTGGTAGAAGTAGTTCAAGTTTATGTCTGTAGTCTTACGAGTCTGCAGAGCCTCCAGCAGAGCGGGTATGATCGTTCTCTTCTTTTCAATCCTGCAGAAAAGGGGAAACAAAAAACATGTTTGATTGGCTGCTGTTTTTACTACTCCGGGAACAGGAAGTATCCACCTGTGATCAAGGTTCCAAGTGCTGAAGACGATCCTGCTCTCTCTGCTGCCGTACGGGTTGATTGAATGGAGCGAGTGGCACAATTTCTGCTCAAATGATCCCTGAGGAGACCACATAGAGGAAGAGTGAGGATTGTGCAAAGCAGTTCTAGGTCTTCAAAAAGTGGTTTGCTGTGCTTCTCACAATATATTTCTGTTCCTAATAAACAGAATCACAATTGTCTGATAATTGAAGCAGATGCTATTAGGTTGCAACTAAGCTGAAATTCCACCATACCTGACAAGTAAACCATCCTTCCTTAGTGCAGAGGCGCCCTGACTCCTTCTCTGTCCTATCGAAGTATTTACCGTTGTACTTGTCATTTTTCAGCATTTCACCCAGGCACTTTGATGTTTTTAAAAACTCCGCTTTCACTTTAGCTTTCTGTATGCCGTTGGTCGCATTGTCCACCTGAAAAATCGACACAGGAAATTGAAACGTTTAATTTGCGCAGGGAAACGTGCTGGGTCTCAGCGGGCCTCGGGTTCACCTCCTTCATGTAGCCCCGTATTCTGCTTTCACAGTTGTACTTCATGTAGGCAGACTTTGTTTTGAATCGCACATCAACACCTGGAATAGAGCCAAAACAATTCAAAGGGCTGTTAAGTTTAATACAACTTTGGAGAGAATCTTTCATTGAGAAGGTGTGTGTGGACATGTTGTTTTAACAGTCAAAAAGCATTAAGATTTGGCCTTTTCACAAACCATAAAATGTCAAGCCCTAAAAAACCCCCAAAATGAAGTTTAAGTTAAATAAATTTGTATTGCTCTACATCTTCTATGTCTAGAAAATTAAGCACATCAGATCAATAATCCTTAAAGCACACAAACATGTTCAGTCAAGTATGCTGATCAGATGAAAAGCTGGTTTTAGGCACTTACAGCTTCCAAGCAAAGTATTATGCATCTCACACAAATTCACTAGAAATCTTTAAAGATGTTCTGTTTAAAGTTTTTGATTAGTGCCAGTTCATTCTTGTTGGACGTTTAGAAAGTGGACTCACCCAACCACTAGTAAGTGTAGAAAAAAATCTACCTTATTATTTATATTTTGGGGAATATATACAATCTAAGTAATTGATTTATTGGTCTTAGTGTTGTGATGCAAAAAGTGGGAGAATCAACCAGCTTAATTTATTGTTAGACACTATGTACCAGTGAACCAGTCTTCATCCTCCTCTCTGCTCTCCAGATCTGATCTGTCCTCCAGGTTCTGCAGCAGGTCAGTAAGGACTTTGCGCCTCTTGAAAGATTTCTCGTCAGAGATAAGACCCTTCGCTGCTTCAATGAGACCGTCAGTGTGGCGATCGGTGTTCAGCAACCGACCAATGTCACAAACAACTAAAACAAACAGTGAAATGCTTAAAATAATAACACACACACACAAAAAATATTTTACAGATGATAAGGAAGAAAAGTACATTTTTATTTCACGTACCTCCACTCCATGTTTGATCCCTTGACAGAAGAACTAGTTCGCAGTTATCAGGCAGGGTGGGAAAGAACTCCTCCGTCACTATTGTCCCATCTTCATATAAACACACATGAGCACCAGAAAGTGGCAGCTGGGACGGTGAAGAACATGAAAACGTCACATTATTGTAAGCTCAACAAATACACAAACACATAATTAGGTCAGATCGGCTGCTTCACTCCAGACTTTAAACGTTGCACATGCAGACACAGACTTGAGAGTTTGTGCATGACAAGCTGATGCAGACAGCTTCATTGGAAAAAGTCCAATTTGCTGGTAAAGATGTGTAAAAAGCCAAATAAATGTGAGAATCTCGCACTGAAATGATCATCCCGAAAACAAGTTTGTCAGGGGAAGGCCACAAAGGGTCCCCAGAACTGTGATATTTCAATGCAACTTTGCAAAAATGATGATGTTATCAGATGTAGACTATTCCAGGCAAACGCACACAGAATAAAGAAACTGAAAGTAAATTAATCCTTTTATTCCAGCAGGAAAATCCTAACCTTGACATGCATTCAGTAGAAGAAAGGATAATTCACCAGTTTAATTCATACAGTACTTATAAATGTGTTTGCTACATTCAATTTGTTCGTGGATTACTAAAACGATCTTGTTTTCAATTAATCCCTAAATAAAACTGTCCAGCGTCCTCGTTTCCCTCTTCATTCTCGTGAGCTCAGAAAAAGCGGAACTGACAGCGACGAAAGTTTTTAAGTTACAAAAACATCCGGCTTACCTGTAACAGCTTGCAGCCCTTTTTAATCAGCTCCTTCACATCTTCAGAAGCAATGCCGTATTTTCTGTCCCCGCTGTGACCTCGAAGTTTAACAGGTTTGCTTTTCTTTAAGAGTCTGGACATTTCACTGTTTATACATACCGCTTCCTCTGTTTTTCTTCCTCTTGACGCTCAGTAGCGCGGCGGTAGTGATTTTATGCTGCCCTCTAGTGGTTATCTTTATACATTACGTCTATTGGTGACGTAGAAAGACAAAGTCAAAGACGTTCCTTAAACAGCTAATTTTGGATTTTTAAATAAAACGTATTTTTAATAAAACGTAATAAATTACGTTTTATTAATTTTAATAAATTGCGCAGCCACCTTTAAAATAAATAGATCAAATCATCAAATCAAATAAACTTACAATGTCCTGTTTCTTTTTGAGTATCTGCTCTATATGATTGTATTGAAATTACTTTTATTATAAAGTAGATTGAGACAATGACAAAACATGGTCTTATTTGGCGATATGTAAACAAACTGAACTTCATTGAACTGGAGCTCTTTAAACGCAACAATCAATTGTACTTTTACATAACTAAACTTGCACCTTCATTTAAATCTTCATTTAAATGTAAAATTTCAGCATTTTGAATCTTTTAACTTTTTTGTGCTAAAATGATCAGATCGAATTTAATATTAGTCTCATTTTCAATAAACTAATGTAAAAATCTTAGGACTATGGTACTATATTCAAGAAATTGCCTTAAAAAACTTTATTCTCATACATCATTGATATTATATTATAGGCAATGATATTTTGTCATATTTTCTCCAAATGTCGGAGAAAGGTGAAATACTGATAACTGTAAATTCACTTGTAAAATATGAGAACACATTATTACCATGGCAACTGACGCATCACGGTGGGCTCTACCAAAGAACAGGTTAAGACCGGCTAAACACCCCAATTGCGAAATAAAGTTTTTCGTGATCATTCACTCTTTGAAACACAGTTTGCTATATTATAGTATTTAAACTAATTAATATTAGGATAAAATAGTTTTTCTTATGAAGCAAGGCTTCTTTTTAAAATGCTTGTCTTGTTCCGCACCCCTCTAAAAAAGTATAGTACAGCCGGATTTCCAACATGGCGGCCGCCATGCATGTTTGAAAATCTGAAATGAAGAGAAATTATATTCTAAAGTAGAACCGCAGGTCAGTTAAATAATTTTTTGTTTTATGTTTTTTTTTGTTTTGTTTATATTGATAATGATATGGTGAAGGCAGAAGAGTGAAACAACATGGCTGACAGCTGGGAAGAATTGTTTCACAAGAACCGGTTGATTCCCCCGTCCAGCCAAACAGTCCGCCTGGCTGTGGAGAACCACCTCACCGCTAACCATGGCTTTCAGCTCAGCTTCAGCCGGCTTACCGTAGCGCATCTCCCGCAGGTAATCCCAAACATTAGTTGTCTGTGTCTGTATGTGGCAGAAATGTTCTGGAGTTTAAACCAGTGGTCTCAAGCTAGTCCTCAAAGGCCAGTGTCCTGCAACTTCTAGACGTTTCTCTTGCTTCAGCACATCTGGCTCTGATATTAGCTCATTAGTAGAAATTGATTGCATCCTAGCAAGGCAGGTTAGCCATGTAATTGTGTAGGACTAAAGTTGTAAAAGAACGAGGCATTCATTTGTGATATTCTGTTGTGAAGTCAAAGAAATAATAATACGTCGTTTTTTCTTTTTTAATAACAATCTTTAAAGTATTGTTTGCATGTATCCAGCCTAAGTTGGTGGTTTTAAAAGTCTACTTTTGAATTTGGCTGTGTATTTTCTTTTACTGATTTGCTTACTTAGAGACTGACTGTTTTGCCCATATTTGCAAAGTATTTTAAGCTCAGACCGGTTAGCGCATCCTGCCTTCTAATTGCATGTTCATATATTTTATTTACAATTTGCTTAACTTATTTGAGGCATCAAGAATAGCATTTAGTTGTCCATCTTCTTTTGTTGACCCACAGGATCTGTCAGCTGGGGAAGGTGTGGCCTACCAGCTGCAAGTGACCCTTTTTGATAGAAAACTCCAGCACTTTTTTGGAAAAACATGGAAGAGCTCATCCCAAAAGATGAAAAGCAACAAGATTTCCTTCAACGAGGTAACTTTTTGTCTTAACGCATTTCACTGAAATAACAACTGCAGCTGCAAAGTGCTAAGCACTTATAGGCTGCAAAGCTCTGAGGATCTGTAATGAATTCTTCTCATGTCGTCTTCATAAGCATTCAGTCAATGACTATTTGTTGAAATCAATCCCTATTCAAATGTTAATTGTGTTAATTGAGCACTGCCATTATTTAATTATTCCTCAAAACATTTAAAAATCAACTCTCTTTATATGAACACTTGTGACTGGATTGTGTTCTGCTGTGCTCTCCAGAGTGATATGAGCATAAACAAAACTAATCACAATAATTTGGCAATCACTTTGGTGATTACCAAACATTGAGCCCAGATGTATTGCACAACTTCCATATTTAAAACTTTCAGAAGGAAACAAAACCCAGATCTTTTAGCTGAAAACTGCATTTAACTTTTTTACCTTTCCTTTATTTGGGATTCTTTTGTTTCTGTTGAAATGGTGAATTGATATTTGTCCATCTGAGTTCATCTTAAAAATAAAAAAGACAGAACGGCACAGATTGTTGCAGCATAACTGATATAAATTGTCTCAAATGTTCCTGTTTAGCTTCTTTGGGTTCTGGAGAACATTGAAAAGTTTGGTTTTAGATACTTTCCTTCCTTCCTTGTAGAAACTCTTTTCTTCCACTTTATATCTTGGCTGTGCTATTAGATTTCTTTAGTGGTGTTTGGGATTATTCGGACACATGTATATTGAGTCAAACAATGTTTATAAATTGGTCCTTAATTATATGTTCATTGCTTCTTTGTGATGGACTAAATCTTTCCATGGTGTTCCCAGTGACAATCAAGTGTTTGTGTCCCAATATCCAAAATCTGAATGGTAAAACATAATTGCAACCAACCCATAGAAATGTGGGGGGTGAGGTTTCTTTTATTGTATTTTAATGTTGTATTAGCAGGGTAAAACCCATTAGGATGAAAAACTTATTTTGAGCCAGAAGGACAACTTCTGCTCTGTTACACTGATGATTAGTTGAATTGATTAATCAAATCATCACTTTGAACTTCGAGTTAGTGATGTGCTGATTATGCAGCTCAAAGGAGAGAATGTTTTCTTCATTATAATGACAAACACTCAAGATGGAAATGAGTTTTTCTACATCTTTCAGGTTTAAATTTAACCATAGCCACATCTTCAGGTCAGCCATGGTGCAGCTGACACTGATGACTTGTCTGTGCCGTGCTGGTGTTTTAAACTCGCTAACTTCAAAAACACCCAGCTTTAATCTTTGAGCCACCTCTTTGGCATCCCTCTGTTCATTCTCTGTAATTTCTCCGCCATCATTCTTTTGCTCCTTTGTACTCTGCAATCATCATTAGACAAAGGAAACGGAGAAACCATTTTTATGTCACACTATCTCATGTCCTCTCTGAAAGATGCGCTTTGATGATGAAATTCCTCAGAACTTATTGAAAGTGCTAAATAGGATGTTGTAAGAATCAAATATGTGAGATACAAAAACTAGTACCAGGTCGACTACAGAGAAATTAAACTTGTCTACAAGTCAGGATTCTTTATGGCACTCTGACTTATTTTACTCCACTGAACAAAAACCTGATGGTCAACAATGTTGTTTTTTGTCCTGCAATGAGCATTAACAAATTGATACTATTGTAAATTTCAAGCCAAACAAAAAAAAAAACAAAACCTTTTTATATTTTTTATGAGTTGTTAGATGGGGAACTTGAATTGTGTTGAATATTTTAGGGTGTCAAAAAGCCAATGTCTTCGTGGACTTTACCGTTTGCTTTGTAGTCCTTTTATCAACTTTTTAAATTTTTAAAAAGGTTTTATTGGCTCTAGTATACCGGTATTTTACTTGAATTGATAAGAAAATGGGTCATGAGAGAAAGGGAAAGGCATGTGGCAAAGGTCACCAGGCCTTGGTGACCTTTGAGCCTGCGACACCTGCCTGCGACACCTGTGTTGAGGAATAAAGCCTCAACGCGGAGGGTTTTGCTTAACCCCTTCGCCACCACAGCAACCCCTTTTATCAGGTTACCATTTATAAACAACAAACTGTTAAAAATGGTGGTACATTTAAGAGTTTTAGGTGAAAAAAGTAACAGCTTTAAAAAAACCGAAGTAAATGAAACTACCATTTTGGGTGACTTTTTGTTACTAGTATACTTTCATCATTGTATTTGTCAACCGCATTCAGTAAGATTGTGCTCAAATTTGTTCACAATTCACTCATATGGACACTGCCTCAAGTTCATCATTATATTTCATATTATACAAGTCATATTGGATATAACATGAACATTATGAACTGAAGTAGATTTTTTAAATTTATTTTTATGTTTTACTTGCATCCAATGTGCTGAATGTAGTAGTAAACTAACACCACATATTGCCCTTAACAGGCCATCCTCTGGTAAAACATGGTGGTACCGGCATCATGTTGTGGGGAGATTAAGAAGATGGAAGAAGCTAAATGTGGGGTCAGCCTGTAGGAAAACCTGTTAGACTTAATGTTCGAGTGGAGATTCAGCTTCTAACTGGACAATGATCCTTAACTTACAGCAAGGCTACTATGGAATATGTATGTCTCAGAATGGCCCAGTCAAAGTCCAGATGCAAGTCCAATAAAAAATAGTTTTTTAATGATGTTTTATCACTTTTAAATGCTTAAAGGATGTGTATTATAATTATTTTCTGTATTATTGCTATGCCTCCAGCATCACCATTGCTTTGAGCTTCATCTCTTTTTAGTGACCATTCTGCTCTCCACCACTTCATGATGACAACCAGCCAGTAGCAGATGCAAAATCCTTATTCAACTAGTGCAGTCAACACCACTTTTGTGTCTGCAATCTATTGCACAATCAATTTTTTTCCTCAAGTCACATGGCCCAGGAGGGTCACGAACCACAGTTTGAAGAGCCCTGGTCTAAACAGATCTGTTCTGTTTCATGTAGCATAAAGAACATTGATATAGTGTGGAATGGATCGATAATAGAACAGTGGCAGGTTGTCTAAAATGCCTTTGAAAAGTCATCTGCACACATCGCATCTTTGCCATAAAAGGAGGAAGAAGAGAAAAAGAAAATTCCCCTTTTTTACACAATACACATTTTTTTTTTAATGTCAACTGTCTGTTTTTCAGTGACATGCTACAAAGTAAATGTTTAGCTCTTTTGATAACGTATTCTTTTTTTTCTGTGACTGCAAAAAGCCAGTCAGATGCAGAATTGCAGTCTAACTGATGGCAGGATTTTGACATCTTGAAGTCGAATAAAGTTTGACATTGCCTGCCAGAGGGGTTATTTTTTACAGCCAACAAATATCAACAATAAAATGCAACATCGTGTAGTGTAGTTGAAAATTTATCCGAAGGCTTCATGTTGTTATATTTGAGCCGATCTCTGGGGAGCAGCTGGGTGCCCATGTTCTCCCGCAAACATCTAAATGTCTCTGTGAATCCAGGCTAGAGGCCAGTCACCCACTGCTTTATAAATGGATCGGAGCAACGATGAGCCTTCCCGTGGCTTCCAAATTTGAAACCTGCTGAGGGCGATACAAATTTGTCTCCTCACCTTGCAGCATGTTTCTGTGTAAAATACGCATCTTTTAGTGACAAAGAGAGTGTTGCAAAAATCTTTTAGCAGTGACATAAATGAGTCACAGCAATGGCACATTCTGATTTCCATTTTGCCACCATCAGTTTTCTTCATTTCTCCCCACCATCTGCTTGATGTTCTTTTGATCCAGCATTTTCGCTGTGCACGGCCTTACTTTGATCCACCACAATAGTCATAGCCGCCATAAAAATCCACTTGGTATCCCAATCAGAATCTAAATCCCATTATCCATCCAGGCTAATAATATAAACCACATCATATCCTATAAGGATGATAAAGTAGGTCTGGTCCTTTCTCTGCCACGCGGCGACAGCTGCAGCCGCTTTTTTCTTCTTCTTTTTATTAGATTTGGTGCGTTGCTTTCATGCTCATGCTCGTATTTATGAGTGGCAAATTGCTGTTTCATATCCAAATAATGTCAGTGGGGTGGGGATTCACTCCTAAGCTGCATTAGCACGTTGAAAATTGCACCTCCCTCCCCACTCAGGCCATGATGGATTGATTTTAATATCCACTGAAAGCAAAGATGTGCAGTGATTAAAGGCAGAAAGAGAGAGAGGGAGCTCCATTTTAATTTGGTTTCATTTTTTTGTACCTATTTTTTGTCCCTAAACAGAACTCATCACACCATTACAATGTTACATCACCTTTAATTAAATGTTTTTTTTTTTTTGTCTTTTAGTGACGTGCAGTTTATTTTTTAAGTAAACTGCATGGGCCTGTTTTTTATTTTGTTGGCCCCACATGCAGAAATCACAACCATTGACTGTAAAAGATCAACTCTTAGTTTAAAAAAAAATGGGAGGTTAATTTTTAACCTTCATTGTCTGTACTGTTTTAGGATTTTTGATACTGTAATGTTGCAAAATTTTCTGAATGCTCTCTTTTTAGGAGCAGTTACAGATTTTATAAAATTTGCTACAGATTTTATTATATCCTGACTCAGATCTTTTGGATGGTGGTTAAAATATCGCACTTCAGATTTGTCTTCTCTGCAGATTTGTCAGCAGAGGGCAATGTTGTGCTATCAATGTGCAGACAAGAGAAACAAGAGGAGGAAAGGGAGAAATGTGCATCATTTTTGCATTGTCTCTTTCTGTGATCACTCCATTTGAGCTCCCTAGCCTTTACAGGAAACCAGTGGTTTCTTCTCACATGTGCAACATTATCAGACCGACAGCTGGGCTTGGGAGGAAAAGGCCAAGCTCGGTTCATGACCAACACAAACCTCTGTTTATCTAGGTCTCCAAATGCTTCAAGTTAGGACGAGTACATCTAAAGGTTTATATTAAAGTTTTCTGTTAGAATATTGAAAGAAAAGCCTATGGTTATGCCTTTTAGCGACAACAGAAGACCTTCAGCAAGATGGAG